TCTGAAGCAGTTATGAAAGTTCTCTGTTGTCTTTATGAGGTGATTGAAAATATGGTGAATGCAGTTTCGTAAATGGCACTGAATGGAAAGATAGGCTTACAAAAATATTAGCTGTGTCCTGATCCACCTTATTCAAGCATCTGGCACTGTGTGACCTCTGGGTCTTCCCCAAACTCAAAATAATGATGAAAGTTAAGTTTTGAATAAATTCAGGTCACTGAAGCAGCCATAACATGCAACTAGAAACAACCATAAAAGAAGACCTCCAGAACAGCTTCAGATAGCAGCAAGTACCATGGGAAAGTGTGTTTAATGCAAAAGGGAGTATTTTGAGAGCGATGGGAACATATCTCTAATAGTAACAAATTTTACTTTACTGTACTGTATTTTGTTTTTGAGACAAGGTTTCACTATGAGGTTCAGGCTGGCCTTGAACTCACTATGTAGCCCTAGCTGGCCTCAAACTCACAGCAATCCTCCTGCCTCAGCCTCCCGAGTGCTGGGATTACAGGTGTGTGCCACTATGCCTGGCTGTAATAAATTTTTAAATTTGAACATTCACCATATTTTATTACACACCATACTCTCCTGAAAGAACCAACCAAAGAGTTGAAGAGGAAATCCTGTTGAAAACCCAAAAGTAGGGCCAGGGATATAGCTCAGTGGCACAAGGGCTTGCGTGGCAAGAACAAGATCCTGAGTTCGATTCCAGATACCCACCCTCGCAAAAGGAAGAAAATCCAAAAGCAGTTCGAGTAAATAATGCTATGGTTTGACGCTTCAGTGTCTCCCAAAGCTCACGGGTTGAGGACAGCAGTTATCAGAAGTGGGGCTCTGGGAGCCGAGAGAAATATGAGGTTCCACCCTAAGAACAATTAACCCACTTGTGGATTCTTATGTGACAGGCCATGAGAAAGCAATGCAAACTTAAGGAAGTGAGACCCTGTAGGAGGAAGGTGGTTGTGGAGGTATGTTGAAGGGTGCATTTTGTCCCCAGCCCACGTCTACTTCCTGGCAACCAGGGGATAAACAGCTTTGCTCACCGGTCAAGTGTGCCCTCCCATGATGCTCTGCCTCAGCACAATCCAAAATAAATCTTTCTTCCTTTAGGCAGATTTTCTCAGGTACTGTGTCACAGCAATAGAGCACTAACACAAATATTAATAATATTAAATATAGAAACTTCCTGTGAACTGGACTAGACTAAAACTTTAGTTCTGTTACAATAGTGTAGTGATAACTTCTAAATGCCTATATTGAGGGGCTGGGGATTTAGCTCAGCAGCACAGCGCCTGCCTGGCAAGCACGAGGTCTTTAGTTCGACTCCTGGTACTGGAAAAAAACTAAAAAAAAAAAAAATAATTGTAAAAAAAAAAAAAAAATGCCTATGTTGAAAAAGATGGGTTGAAAATGAATGAGGTAACCCATCTCAAGACAGAAACCAGAAAAAAAATCATAAAAATGGAAAAACGTAAACATTTTAAGAGCAGAAATGAATGAATGAAAATCAGACATAAAATAGTTAAAACTAAAATTTAGATCTTAGAAAAGACTAAATTGTACCTACTTAAAGTTATACAGAAAATCTAAAGTAAATGATTTACAAAACTGACAAGAGTTTAGTAAATTTCCAGATGCAGAAACAGTATGAAGAAATCATCTATATTTTATATATCATCAATAGTTAGGAAATAATGTAGGCTGGGTCACTTGGATTAACATTCTAGCTAGACAACTTTAGAAAAGTGGAATAAAGCAGAAAACTGGTATTAGCAAATAAATTACCCGGCTAATATGTGTGAGAAGATGAATTCAGAATGGTAAACCTTTACCTGTCACCTGTGACCACTGCCGCTTGGGATCTTTACAGGTAGATCTGTAACAAGCCACTGGGAAGAGGCACAGAACTAAGAGGCCAGGGATTAAGAGATGGCTCAAGATCAGCAAGAGCTAAGGACTCAGGTAACCCAAGCCCACACTCTGGAACCTGCAGGGTTGAACTTTAAAGGGTGAGCAAGAAGTAAGACACTAGAACTAGAGTCTAACTCAGCTTTTAAAGTCCAGAAGACCTCAGGCTCTGACACTAGTCAAAATTATCCTGAGTTACAAGTATCAAGGTACCTGGCAGAAGCAAAAGAGAAAGCTTTGAGGATGAAAATATCATATTGGCCATCAAATTATTTTGATTGGTTTTCAAATACTGACAAATAAACAAATATATGAGATACACAGGAAGTGTAACTGTAAGAATAAGGAATAGAAGGAACAAAAGAAAAATTACAAAGGAACTCACAAGAAAGTTTCAGACTCTGAGATTATTAGACAAAGACTAGTGAACAAGAGATGAACATTTTGGTGAGACACCAGGAACTGTATGTGTGTCTTGTGTGTCACAGGCTTGTGTGTCTCCTATTAGAAATTTGAGAACTGAAAATACAAAAGTGCTAAGAATAACCAGGACCTAGGCCAGTAAGCTGAGAGGAACTCTAGCTAACTGTGAGAAGTATGTGTCTGCTATGGTGATAAAGGCAGCATACTAGCGTAACAATAGAAAAGGAACAAAAACTTATAGACAGTCTTACATGGATACACTCCTGTGTCACTCAGTGGCACGATGGAAAAAAGAGAACAGAACAGACTTTTCAGTAAACTGTAGAGAGGTAGTATTTGTCACTCACAAAATTAATTCCTTGTGAATTAAAAACAAGTATAGAAAACAAAACCAAAGTTCTCTGAAGACAACAGGGAAGACTATTTCCATGATCATCATACAGAATGTGACTTATTTTTTAAACAACTCACAAACATCTTTCATAAATCAATGAGGTAGAAGACTGCCAATGTATGAAATGTATGCAAAAAATTAACAAGACACTTTAGAAAAACAAGGTCGAAGTGGCCAAAAAATTTATGAAAAAGTACTCAACTTCACTAGTAATTTAGGAAGTTCAGAGTAAAATTTCAATTATTTACAACTGTACACCTACTTGCTTAGCAAAAAAAAAAAAAAAAAAAAAAAAAAAAAAAAAAAAAAAAGACAGTCTAGAGGCTGGGGAAACGTCTGTAGTTTTTTCATAACATTTAAGATATGAAAAACCAAGCAACCTATAACCAAGCAGTTCTACTCCTAGTAGAATTACTTGCAATAGTAAATATAAAAGTAACATTCATGGTAGAAGCTCACTGTCTCAAACTAAAAACACTCCCATCAATCACAATCAATAGAATGAGTACTGTGGTGTATTACTGCAAAGGTAAATTACACAGCAATGATGACGAAATGCAGCTACAATCAATATGGATGAACCCATATGCTGGATGAAAGAAGTCACAGAAGTCAGTGAGATTCTTTTACAGAAAGTTGAGAAACAAGTGGAAATAAACTGCATTGTTCAGGGTCACATATGTAAGGACATAGTAGGTACAGAGAGCAGAATACTGGAAATCACCAAAGGGCGTTTGAGAAAGCTGTTGTGCGGGGAAGGAACCATACTGAGTTTGTGAGCTGCTACCCGTGTTTTCTTAGTGTGAGTACTGGTTATGTAAACAGTCACTAAAATTATTCTTAAAGTATTTGTATTTTATATATTGTTTTACATATATGTTTTTGAACATGTATCTCATCAATTAAAAAATCAAAGCTTGTAAGTCGTGGAAAGAGAAAAGGGAATAGAAACTACTAACGGATATTTACTCTGATCCCCAGGATCTCCAGTTCCTGATTTCTGTTACTGAATCTGTTCAAGTAAAATAGTAACAACCACATCTAAGAACTGCACACTGAGCCAAGTACTTTTAGTCACAACGAATTTGTGATAATAATCACTGTAGTTAAGAACATTAAGACAAATTTTCCTCCAACATTTCAAGAGAATAATTTACTTTCTCTGTTCATTTTACTAATTATAAGTTGTAGATTCATGAGAAACCACTTTGAAGCTACCACCATGTATTACAGCAGCCACTGATATTTTCCTACTAATCTGTCCATAACTCTGTAATGTTTGCATTGCTCCTATCCTATTTCGTAAATGGATGTATGTTTATTATTATGTGTTTTCTAGAACAACCACTGAGAATAGTTAACGATTATTCAATTGGTCACTCATGTATAGCTCTATTTATTTCCTTCAGAAGCCACTTTGAAGATACCAAAGTATAGTACAATAACTATTGATAATCTCTTTTGTCTGTAACTCACTATTATTTGTCTATTTGTTTTCCTGAGAAAACTATCTTGTAGATAACAATATGTAAAACAATAACCATTGATAATTTCCTACCACTTTGTCTGTAATTTGGTAAGCCCCTCCCATGACTATGTTATCTTTCTTTTACTCTTTAAAATAAAAATAAAATTAAAAAAAAAAAAAAAGTAAGTTGCAGGGGCTGGGGATTTAGCTCAGCGGCAAATGTGCCTGCCTGGCAAGCACAAGGTCGTGAGTTTGGTTCCCGGTACCGGAGAAAAACCAAAAAAAAAAAAGTTGCAGATTAAAAAAAACCCTGAATTTTTTTTTAAAGCTTTGACACCGTCATTACCAAAATGCACTATCACAGATAACAATCAAAAATACAGATAGTATTCTACAAGTTCTACCTTTGGGATGATTTATGAAGGACTTAGAGTGAAGTAATATAACTGCTTTGAACTCTTAAAGGAATGGATATCAGAAATCTGCAACCTGTAGTCTGGAACGTACAACATGGACTTTTACATAGTAACAACTATTTTCCCACTTTTGTTTACTGTGTTGGGGACGAACAGAGCGCCTCATGCATGCTACACACGTGCTCCAGCACGGAGCATACTGCCCACCCCTGCCCAACCGTTTCAGCAAAACTTCAAGGAGCCAAAGGCATTGTGAAGTAATGTCCCTCTATATGCAATGAACGCTGTATCTCCATAAGTGCAAAACATGAAAATTAGGAAACATCGATGTGAAATTACCCAAAGTGCGTGCCATAATCAGGATCTCTGAAGCAAACTGTTGAACATGTTCTATAAAGATATTCTCAAATTTCATTTATTTTTAAATTTAAAGTAAAAAATAACTCAATGGAATTGTACAAAACTTTTGCACCTGGTATCTCAACCAATACTGATGTCATGTACAGAGATAAACAGAACCATGAAAAAAACTGTCATTAACTTTACCCTGGCTTTCAGCTTAGTAGAACTAATTAGAAGAAAAGACAGCAGTAACCACTACTATCGAAAAAAACAGTTGCAGGTTTAATGACAAAATGAACTTAATCTTTGTTGATTTTATTTACTGCTATCTGCCAAAGCAATGATTCCTATAAATACGAACTGACAGTCTGGATCTCAATTTACTTCAAAAAGACGTGGACACTTGGCTAAAGTATAAGCCAGCTATTAGATAATACTTGAGGACTGGAGATGAATCACCTTGAAAATATCAGTCACTGTCAAAGAGCACAACACAAAGTGAAAGTGGAAAATGGTTTCTTAATACAAAGGTCTTTTTACTCCTACCCTCTAATATTCTAAGACACAGAGCCTTGATATTCCTGGATTCAATTTTAGGTACTGTTAACTTCTGGCACTGGAATTCACACAATGGGAGAGGGTAGAGTATGAGGATCAAACATTAATTTATTTCAAAGGTAGCTATTTTCTTAAAACTCATCCTGTTCACTTCCTGCATGTCTCAATGGGCAGATTTTCCTTCAGTTCCTCAAACTGACTCTCCATTGCCAAATATATTTTTCCAACTAGATGATACTTTTACAAAACATGGAAACAAAATGGTTGGTTGAAAAAAAATTAAACTATTTGTAAGTGGAAAAGAAAAGTAAGTACAGAGTATAGAGAGCAAACTGGAGTGAATCCACTGTAGAAGAGGAGCTACAGGGAAAAGACTTCCTGAGGTTACGAAATGCCCAATGCTTTTGCAAGCAAGTCAGCCTTAGTGAAGAATCCCTTGCTGCTCTCACTGCGTTCACAGTGTTGAATACTGTTCCCATTGTCTTAATGAAAGCACTTATATCTGCAATCGTTCATGTTAGAAAACAGAATATTTCTTACAGTAAATATCTAAAAAACATCTTTTCATTCTTTTCAATCCTCTTTCTGGGAAGGGAGAATTAAACAACATACTTTCCTTTAAGGTAGACATATTTTTTCTTAACCTTAGATTGCTGGAAGAAATTGAAAAATCAAGACTCTACTACTAATGATGACATTTTTAATTTTTAGTTTACATCTATTTCTGAGGACACTCCCTTCACAGAGCTTTTAGTCTTATATTTGTTTCACATCCCTTGGAGTTCTAAATAAATAAAATACATCAGAAGGCATATTTAAAGTTTGAATGGTTAGCCATATTATCTGTTCACATTCTTGGATTTTCTAAGAGGGTTGTCTGAGTCCATATAATACTGTTAACAGTTCGAGGTGACATGAGTCATCTGATTTGCTTATGGCTTACAACACTGATGATATAAAAAAAAAAATCCTGACTTGGGAGAAGACAAGGATATAATGTACTCTTTAAACCAGCACAAGCGGGGCTGGGGATTTAGCTCAGCGGCACAGCGCCTGCCTGGCAAGCACAAGGTGGTGAGTTCAACTCCTGATACCGGAAAAAAACAAAACAAACAAAAAAACCCACATAAACTAGCAGAAGTAACAGGACAGTAAAATATAACTACATAAATTAAAATCTCTACTCTTTATCTATCACTATTATCTCTCCTCCTCCCATTGGTATTAAATTTTTAAAAGCTAATCACATAAGAGACACAAGGTACTGAACAACATTTGTATTGAAAAATGGGTCTCAAATACCAAACAAAAAAGAAACGTATAAAGTGAGATTAAATTGTTTGGATAGCAGCATTCACTACTTTCAAGTTCCTTATAGTTTTCTTTTTGTCACAGACAAATATTCTGTTTTATTTTCTTCCAGAGAGCTTAATACACAAATTTGTTATATTATAAAATGGTATTCCAATTAAAAGTTGTTTGCTATCACAGTCACGTGTAAAGCATCAGAATTATTTAATGGAGTTTCTCACTGATGTTTTCCTTAAATTAAGGCTTCTTCAAAAGAGAAATCCACAGTAGTAGGAGCTTATTTTTTAAGCTTTTGAGTTGGGTGCACTCTTCAGAGAACCATGTAGTCGTGGATTAACTTTAAGATCACCTCTATTTGGTGTCGTGAGTGAAGAAGTATCTCACTGGAGGTCCTGGTAAATCCTCGTCTCCATCGGTGTCTGGGGCAAATGACACAGTAAGATCTACGTATCTTTTTTCAGTAGAAGGTTTCACAAGTTTATGCATCCTAAGGGAAAAAAGCAAGAATGATACACTGATAATTCTATAAAATGAAAGAATGATTTCTGTAATGCTATCCGAATATCTGAACTTATATCTACATTTTACTTTAAAATTGAATCCATCTGCTTTTATAAATGCATTTCTGTTTGACAGCTCTGAATGCAAGACACTCATCTACTTAAATAGTGAATCAATCTGGACCAGTGCTGCTTATAATAAAAATAGTGACAATCTGCTCAGACTTGAAATATCAACAATGATTTTGAAAATTCAATTTTTTTCCTATACAGGAGTGTAAAGTTTAGAGGCAACATAAGTTCTTTACCATTTCTTTGAAAAGAGTAAAAAAGCAAACTAGATTAAACATCCTAAAAGCTGTCTCCAGTCTCCATTTTCTTTATATAGCTGCTGTTACAATTTTCTTAAAATACAAGTCTGACGTTACTCTAGTATCTAATGTGATGGAACGTAAATACCAACTTCATGCTAGGCTCTGAACTACGTAATTTTCAAATTCTCTATAATGGCCCTTTCCATTTTATAAAGGCACTTTATTGCATATGAAACTCTTCATTCTTTCCACTATTTACTGACACCACATTATCTTTGAGGTGATTACAAAATACCTCACTTTCCAAGCACCCATGTATGCTCTTTTTCAGCTACAAGTGGTTCTACAAAACTGCTGCTTCTGTCAGAAGTATCCCTTCTTCAAAGCTAGGGTAAATGAAATCTACCCTGAACCACAGGTTTGACACAATGGTGCCCATGGTGCAATGTAAAAATCTTTATTATAAAATGCATCAATTACATTTAATTAATGATGAACATTAACATCCCATAATAAACTATGAACTGAGAGCAGGGCTATCTGTATAATGTTGAAGTATTAACGAGCACCATTTACCCTTCCTCCATTCCATTACACTGTTATGCAGGCATCACTATTATAATGCTCAACTGCTGAACACCATCATTCACACCTATGGACAGGAAATTCAAAAGCTACTCGGTGACAAAACAAGTAGTTGTGCAATGTGAACCCATTTCTAAGTCAGCTCATGTTCTTAACTGCAACACCATGATTACCTTAGGCATCCAGCCATTCAGTAGGAATTCAATAAATATCCATTAAATTGACTATAATAAAATTATAAATATCATTCATAAAGTATATCATGCTGGAGGCATCAAATACTGGGAAACTCTCAAAAAAATTTTTATTTGCAGCAAATGTTAAAATCCACCAATCAATATACTTTATGACCATACATCCCACTTTCAACTAGGTAGTACACAACTAAAAGAATTCCAAATGTTATCTTAATTTATCCAAAAGATACTTATGGATCATAATGAAAACAATATAAGGCAAATTGATGCCTTAGCAAATACATTTTTAAAGGTAAAGATAATTAAGATGAGCATACTTTTAAAACTGGCAGGTGTGTTAAAATGACCAGACCAAATAAAGATTCCTGACTCTGTGAGACTTATATTCTAGTTGGGTAGAGATAATAAAGAAGAATATTTGCTAACCACAGAAGTCAGTGATGAGTCCCATGAAAAGGAGAAAAAGAACAAAAGAGTGCTGGGTGTACTAGACAGGAAGTGGGCACAGATTACAGTATTACGGTTCATAAAGGTCTTTACAGAAGTGCAAAGACCAGAGTGGGGAATCACCACGGTCGCCATCTCAGAAAGAATTACAAGCAGAGGGAACAGAGCAAAGGTCCCATGCTGGACCCTGCCTGGAGTGTGTTCTAAGCAATGTTAAGGAGGCCAGTGTGCCCGGGATACTGTGAAGGGAGAGGTAGGAATCAGGTTGTCTAGGGCCTCAGACCACTGTAAAGACTCTGGCTTTCTTTGGCTCCCTTTCTTTCTCTGCTCAATGCCACTTCACAGGACAAGAGTATGACAGGCACAGGGAGTATCTAGATGACGAAACGTAACAGTGAGCACCAGTGTGCCTACATTCGCTCCTCCTCACTGTACTGTCTCCGCAGCACTGGCCATCTCTGAGCCAGCCTGGTTACTATGCAAACCTCTCCAGCAGCAGGGGACTTCGCTTTGCTCTTCACTGTATTCTAGTGCTTACGATAGCACCTGGCATACAGCAGGTGCTGTATGAATAAAAATCTGCTAAATAAATGCATAACTATCTGGCACTTGATTTTATACTGCATTCTCATAAGCCCCCTTATGTTTCCACATAAGAGGAGGGTCTGCTTTTATTGAGCTTTTAAGTTTCTATCAAGTTTCTATGCCTGTTACTGAAGACTTGAGTGTAAATCACAAGGGTATTGTAATCCTGAGACACTCCTTAAAAGGCAGCCCACTGGCCTCCTCTTCCCTGGCGGATGTGCTGTCTTTACTAACACCATTGTATAACAGTAATGTTCCTGAACTTCAATACCTCTATATTTAATTTTTCAGTGTACATCTACTTACGTTTTGATTCTTATCCATATAACAGCAGAAACTACTTACGTTAACTTCAATCTTTTTGCGTGACCAGGCATTACAGGAACATAAAGCATTTTGACTCCCTGAACTACCATTGTTGGCTCAATTCCGTACTTTTCCTAAAAATGAATATCCAAAAGAGCAACAATCAAAGCCTCATTCAAGCATAAAATGCTTGTGTGAAAATGCTTTATGACCAGTGAAAAGAGAACAAATTTGAGCTAAATAATGGTTATTACTGCCAGTAAAGTTATGGGTACAAACTAGAGTAGTGAAACTCATAGTTTCACTTTACAGCCACAGTCTCAAAATATTAAATGGAAAACTTCAGAAATAAGTAATTCTTAAGTTTTAAACTGTGTGCCATTCTGAGCAGTGGGGATGAAATCTCAAGCTATTCCCTCTAATCCACCTGAAGTGTGAATCATCCCTAGGTTCAGCACTTCCATGCTTCACACACTGCCTCTCGCTAGTCACACTGTAGCTACCTTGTTATCATACTGACTGCTGCAGTCAGTGTCCAAGTAACCCTTATTTACTTAACAATGGCTCCACAATTCAGTAATTTTGATGCTGGCAATTCCAACATGCTAAAGGAAAGCTGTAAAGTGTTTCTTATAAATGAAAAGGCAACAGTTCTCAACTTCATGGGGAAAGAAATCATGCTGAAGTTGCTAAGATCTACTCTAAAATAAGGTATTCTTAGATTTTATCACAGTATATTGTTGAGATTGTTCTACTTTAACATGATCACTGCTAATCTGTGCCTAACTTGTAATTAAGCTTTATCATAGGTATGTATGTATAGGAGAAAAAGACATGGAGATATAGGGGTCAGGGTTATTTGAAGTTTCAGGCATTCTCTAAGGGTTCTGGACTGTAACCCAAGCAAATACGGAAGGACTACTATAAAGAAAAACCACAACCAAAGCCAGTAACAAGCCAAATGAATACAAGTGTCTCACCTTGACTGCATTTATGAAATCCAAGAGGGTGAAATCTTCTTTTCCATGTATAGTCCATCTGTCCCAAATTGTAAATGATATTCCATTTCTGTTGTAGAAAATATGCAGAAAAACATTTAATTTTTCTTCCTTTAGTAAGAATAAAAATACTGCCTGAGGCAGTATTTGTGAGTTAGAAATTAAGGTGAGAAAAAGGAAACATACAATTCATAAAATATCCCATGGCTTCTACCTCCACAGCACACAACTCTGATCTGGCCTTCACGACCCTGTCAGTGACACATACGAATCAGGTGTCCGAGAGATTCTGTTCTGTCTTCTGTCCACAGACAGCTTACTTGAGGCGTCCCTTGCATTGATGACCCAGCCCACTAGCACTGGACATCCAATCACTGGCTATTATAAACTATGTCAGAATGATTATCTGATATAAACGTAGTTTGGGCTGTGTCAGAATGATTATCTGATATAAACGTAGTTTGGGATCTGATATAAACGTAGTTTGGGATTTGTAGGTATCTACAAATTTGAAATAGAGTGCCGTACTTCCCCTACTACCAACTATTCTCTTTTGCACTCATATAAGTAATGTATAAACACCTGATTTTTCATATTCCTGCCAGATAATTTCTTTCCTTAAATTTTTGGTTGCTGCTAACCTGAAAAGTGAAAATGGAGTCCCAGGGAGTTATTTTCCTTAGTCTCAGCTTGCAGAATTAGATCCTAAACACACCACGGTGCCTTCTAACTTTTCCGGTTACAGACACAGATGAACAAATGAAATATAATGTTTCATTAAGTGGTAGATCAAATGTTATGAGAGTTCTTCAACTAATTTAGCCAGAAATGCTACACAAATATGAGGTTCAACAAGTGTTAAATTTATAGGATTTACATATACAGAAGAAAAGGACACGTGACACCAATATTTATCCCTTTTAAAAGGTGAAACATTTTATCTCATGCTCATTATACAAGAGCAACAGGCCTGCACACACACCTGATTTCAGTTTTTCTTACTTCAGATGTCTCTGTAAACACTATAATTGGAATGGCTAAGTTAAGGAAACAGTTTTTGTAAGCTTCAAATGGAAAGCCACCAGTTATTTTGATCATCTCCAAGGCGACCTAGGTAAAAGAAAGCCATCTGATTACATACATAGGCTACAATTATTTGACATATTAATTGGATCTTTACAGTTTTCCAAAGCTCTTTTTGCCAGGTGTGGTGGTGCACGCCTATAATCCCAACACTCAGGAGGCTGAGGCAGGAGGATTGCTGGGAGTTCGAGACCAGCCTGGGCTACAAAGTGAGCTCAAGGTCAGCCTGAACTGCATAGTGAGACCCTGTCTCAAAAAGACAAAAAAACCCACAAAAAACATAAAAACAGGGGCTGGGGATTTAGCTCAGAGGCACAGCACCTGCCTGGCAAGTGCAAGGGCGTGAGTTCGATTCCTGGTACCAGAAAACAAAACAAAACAAACAAACAAAAAAACAAACCAAAAAAACCCCCCATAAAAACAAAAAACAAATAACAACAACAACAACAACAAAAAAATGCAATTCTTCTCAAGTATTTCTCTGAAATAGTAAAAGTAATTATAAGATTAGCGTAATACACATTTCTTTATAGGTCTCTGCATTTTTAATATTGTACTTTGGAACTTTCAACCTATTCCATACAAAGTAAATGAAGTTATTTAAAAAGTGTAAATCTGACCATCTTGCTACTGAAGCCAAAACTTAATTCTGAATTAAAATTTAAGACAATTCTGTTTATTTCTTTTTATTCAAGAAAAACAGTACTTGCTTCCTACGGAGACACAAAGATGACTGAGATTACTACCTATAAAAAGTTATCTATCAAGTACATTTTTATTTTCAAATGTTTAAGTACATAAAATCTCAAAATAAATTGTTATGTTCTCAGAAGTATCTTGAAATTTTAAATTATACAATTATTTATCCCCCATCTCTAAGGGATTAGCTGGGGTTGATATGATGGGGAAAACAGGGAAGAGGCAGTGAAGAGAAACATTTTAATTCAAAGAATAAGCTTACCAGGCCAGAAACTGCAGCAGTGGATGTTGCTATGGCAGGTATGATTTTACCAGCTATGCGCTTTGTTTTGAAACGGTCAGCTGGTTCAATACTATACATTCGGGCACGGAGATTGGACGCAGCTGTGATGAAATCTATGTGTCCATTACTGTCATCATCTTTCTCAAATGAAAGCACCGCCATCTGAAGGTCACCTGATCATTGCAACAAGAGGAATAAAGTTCCCTAGTAAGTGGTACAGGTTCTGCCAGGTAAAAAGCAATGTGGTTTCACTACTTTCAAAGATTCCCTCTTATGTTTCTCAGCAACTGAAAAATATTTTGAAAATCCAGGTAACTGAAATTATAGAATGATACAAAAATTATGGTTTGAATATGAACAAATTACAGAAGTTTTAATATTAAAAATAAACCTTCTAGTAAATAGCAGAATGAGAAAGCTATGGACTATGTATCTGTTGCCAAGTGGTTTATAATTAAAAAGTCAGTATTTGCTCTTGTTCAAAATACATCTTTTTGAAAGGTTTCATTTTCAAAATTAATCTAATATTTATTATTCTAAAGTTATTTTTCTTGAAAATTTACCAGACCACGTATGAAATCCCAAAAGGCTGGAAACCACTGACTTATGTAAAAAAGATGGTGAACAAACGGCATTCAACTTACTATGTTTTGACATTTGAGATCCCTCAGCACGGATGTATTTAGGTGAGTTTGCATTCTGTCAGTAATTACGGAGAATAAGAACCCAAGAGGAGTTCTGTACAACTGTTTAACCTAAAGTGATTTGAATGGGTTTGTCTAAAGATTAGTCTCCACAAAGACCCCACGAACTGAAATTATAATTTCTCAAAACCAGAGGTATTTGCTTATGTTTTTAGATCTGCTCACCATCTGCAGGACTAAAACAGTCAGAACTGCAGTAAAAAAGTAGTTATAGGATTTAGAGAATTAGATTTCAACACTTGAGATAGAGTCATGGTGGGGAAAATGATGAATTTAGATACAAAGATGAACAGTAACTTTCATATGACCATGGCATCAACTTCTATTATTACTGTTATGCAGTCCCACGAACTTTTCAGCATGGAGTTCAGTGGAAATGAAAGTTTATCCAATTCAAAGCGGTTCAGTGAAGAGTCTGCCTTACTTCTGCGGGCTTCGTTAGATACGATAGCCTTCTCCAGCTGGAAAGCGGCATTCCTCTCATCTTCACTGCTAACAGGAACATGATCTGGTTTCCGTGCAGCTTCATCTGTTTGAACAACCTTTAAATATATGTGCATACACTTACGTTACTGCATTGCACATTTAACTGCGGTAACCATTTATCTGTATTACCAGATGAGCATAAAGAGAAAATATTTCCTCCATAGATTTTAATCAGATTATTTATCATTACAATCCAATGTAGTTTCTATCTTCCTTTAGTAATCACTATTATTTATGTATTTATTATTTGTTGTCTCACATTGGCATGAAAACTCTAGTAAGAACAGGGCTCTGTATCTTGTTCACTGAGATCTCCACTATGTCTAAAATAATCATTTTCATACTACATGTTAAAAATATTTACTGAACACTTTATACAGCTTTCTTTAAATTTCACAATAAAATGAAGTTCATGTTAAAAGTTTTCATTCTGATAAATCTATTTAAACTTAAATCACACCATTCTAATTACCACAAAGCTAGTTTTTAGTAGCAAAAGAAACTGAAATCTCCATAAAATCATCCCAGAAATACTGATTTTTGACAAGCAGTTCTTTCAAAAAGCGTGTCTTCTTTCCATATAAATGTAATATGATTGAGGCTATACATCTCACAATTTATATTATAGAGACTATTCACTCATTGGATAGTCCATGGCAGCAGTAAATACTATCAATCAAAAAACTAACTTTATCATTACTTATTAAAATACTTATTCAAAATATATATCCACATCTTTTTTCTCTTCAGATAAAGCATTATGTTTAAGATATATTAAGGAGTCAAAGAAGTAAAACTTTTTTTGGCCAGCATGTCTAACTGACATTTCTGGCTGTGAAATCTGTGACTAGAAATGCTAGTTCTGGTGCTCTGGCCTGAGCTGCTTCAGGGATTTTTTTTTTAAGGCAAGGCCTTACTATGTAGTTCAGGCTGGCCTTGAACTTACTGTGGAGGCCAGGCTGGCCTTGAACTTGCAGCCATTCTCCTGCCTCAGCCTCCCAAGTGATGGGATTACAGGTGTGCAGTACCATGCCCCTCTTTCACAGAATTGTTTAAAAAGACCGCAATTTCTCTAGCAATAGCTACATTGCTCAGGAAATTTACCTTTGAACTTTGATACAGGAAGGAATTCAAGCCAGAAAACACTGAAGCAAGAGCAGTAACCCTCAATGAAGTTACTTATGTTTCCTTGTCTTCTAGTCTAGTTTTGCCAAATGAAACATGGGCTGGGGACCTTCTTTATAAGAGACTTCTGTCTATGCTTATTCTATTTTTATCCTCAACATTTCATTTATCGAACTATTCGTGTGAAATCAACTGCTTCTAACACTCAGTTTTCCCTGAAATAAAAATGTAAACTGGAAGACTGCACACAAGATCTTGTTGGGAGGCAGTCCTTATTTCACCTTTTCTGGTATAACTGAAGGGTAAGAGTAAGAGAAAGCTGTACTGAGGATGATTTTTAAAGTGCATAGAAGAGAAGCACATACCTACCTTGTGAAAAAGCACTTAATGTTTTTAAAGTTTCATACTCACACTGCCTACATTTCACTTTGTCTTTATTAACACTCTGCATCTCTTTCTTTTTAGAGAATATTTGCTGGGCAAGATCCCAGTACTAGTTACGTTATATTCAATTTCTTACTGCTGTTGCACTCAATCCCACCCCAGCAACTCAATGTGGCTGAAGCCGCAGCCTAATGTAGCACCATCTATTAAGCATATTAAGATCAAGTGGAACCTCTGTGCTGCACTGCAGTTCTGCTTCCAAGTGCTTTTCTACCCTTCTTAGCAATTACTTCATGCCTTCTTTGCTCGGCTCTAACTTCCTTACCTTCTTATCTCTTTCACTCTGAGCTACTATTTTCACTAAGAAAAAAACCACCTTCTTCCCACTCACATTCCCATTTCAGTCTCTTAGAAACTCATTCAGGATTATCGTAAAGCGTACAGAGATTCAACCCTTCTCATCACATCCCTATCTTCTACTACTTCATTCAAACCATTCCTCTTTTGTCTATATTCCTGTAGTAAATCCTGCTGTCTTTGTGCCCCATATACTTGCTCTTAATAGTCAGAGTCCTCCTTTAAAACACAAGTCATATTGTATTACTTCTTTCCTTTACACCTTTCACTAGCTTCTTCTTTCAAGGTAAAACACAAAATAGTTATCACAACACAACCAGCTCTGCAACCTCACGGTATCCCGATCTCTCCCACGTAGAGTCTTCTGTAGCGAAGTCCAGGCCTGAACGGGCTTCCCTGGCCTTCTTCTCTGCACTCATTCCTCCTGCCTGGACTGCTGATATCTGCTTATCAGACATTAGCATGGCTCATCCATCACTTCCTTCCAGTTCCTGCTCAAATATTATCAACACTATCCATGAAGCTTTCCCTCTTCATCTCACATAAAATGATACCAGTTCCAACACTTTCTTCTCTTGTTTTAACTTTCTTAGCACTTATGTCTTCATTGCAATATCACATATTTATTTGCATTTTAAAAAATCATCCTTCGCCATCCCATTGGATGAGGATTCTCACTGTGGTGTTCTCCAGGTGCAGAGTGAAACCTGACACAAAGGCAAGTCCAGTAACTATTAGCTAAATGAATACATTTCTAAACTTACCTTATTAGATGGCTTGAATCCCTGAACTTTTACTTCTGAAAGAATATTCATGAGGGCATCTATTGTTAAGTCCTGTTTTTAAAAAAAGCAATCTAATCAACAAACATATTGTTCTAATTCTGAATTATAATGTTAAGACATCCTGTCAAACGTCCTTTGTCATTTCAAGGTATGTGAATATCTATCATTTGAATATCTGAATATCTATCATCTGAACATTTTGACTATATCCATTTGCCTTTTTTTCTATAAAAGTATCACCCATAATTAGTAAAACAGACCTGAAGTCTTAGTCCTTCTTGCAAACTTTTAAAAAGAGGACTATCTTTTGATTTTCCTACCTTCAATGATTTAGTTTCCCACACAATGTTATAATCCATAAATAAGTAAGTAAACGGAATGCACACCTTGAGAAGCAGGAAAATACTTCAATATTTTAAGATGAACTTAGAAGAACTGAAGTTCATTTGCTATTAAGAAAGAGCTTAGGGAAAACAGACATACTGCTGTTGAGGACAATTACTACTCTTACAACAGTTAGCATCTTCTACACCAAAAATCAAACAAAAAGAGTGAATGTCACTACTTTTATTAGATATTTGCATCAATGCCAAAATGATTAATCTACAACAAGTATTTCTATCTGGATCTGAAAGAACCTGTGTTAATTATGAAGCCAGTTCATAATTCTCCATATAGACAATCTGAAAGTATTTAGCTCTAATAACTCGTGACCAGGCATGGTGGTGCATGCCTGTAATCCCAGGACTTGGAAGGCTGAGGCAGGAGGATTGATTGCTGCGAGTTCAAGGGCAGCTTGGCCTACAAAATGAGTTCAAGGCCAGCCTGAACTGCACAGTGAAACCCTGTCTCAAAAAGACAAATTAATAACAATAATAATCACCATAATATGCACTCATAAGGAAAAACTGATCAGTGTATATTCCCCTCTCCAAACCATACTCAACCCTTCACGTGGTGAGTGTGCTGATAAGGGAGAAAGATCAATACAGGGGAGCCTTTTTAGATTTCTGGGAAAGTATGTAACTTCATACCACAAAATACACAAGCCCATTAACAATGATAATTTCTACGAGTATTTTTAAATTGCTAGGAAATGGCTCATTGCAGCTTTTTAGAGTAAGGATAACTGTAGCTGATAAACAGGTTATAAACATTTTAAAAATAAAGTATAACTGCACTAAAAATATGGCTGTTTCATTACTTAATTCAGAAAGGAAAATCCAACTTTTGCTTAATAGTGGAATGGATGTTTATCTTTATTATGTTAGACTGGGCAATAAGACAACAAAATAAAAAATTTACAGTAAACAAAATGACATATCATAAAAACACATTTTGATTCAATTAACTAATTCTAACCTGGTTTTGCATCAACTGCTGGAGTTTGAGTAATATCTTACCTTTTCTACAAATGGAATGCAGTATACTGCAGCATAGAGTTTTGCAGCACTCTGAAGGAAACTGAGGTGCCTTTTGAAATTAAAATATAAAGCCAAGTTTGAATGCACAATACAACTATTAGTAAATTCAGTCTTTAAAATTAGATTTGAGGAAAAATCATCAGATACTTTTTGTTACAAAATAAATTTTTAACAGACAATGAAATTCTAGTCTAGACCAAAACATTACAGAAGCTAGAGAGGAGAAAATATCAGATATTTAGTCTCAAAAACATTAATAATATTCAGGTAGTCATCATGACTACTTTGAGGAAAGAAGTGATCAATACAAAAATGAGACTAGTGCAGAGATGGCAAATCTTTTAGAGAGCAGCCAGCTGTGGCACCCATGCCACAGGTTCACCACCACTGGACTAGTGGAAAAAAATTCATTTTAATTTATAGGAAAATGTTGTACGTCAGGAGTGTGTATCAGGTTCAAATGAGTTTGTTTAGACGTAAGCAAACAAATGAGTTCATAAACCAAGAAAGCCTATGTCTTATAGGAAAAGTACTGCAGGATAAGGTACTAAAACAAGCACCTCATGAGAAACTAAGTAAAGAGCTATTTGTTGAAAGGAGGATTAGTGATGGCAAGTTAAGTGTATTTTTTCTTTTTCATGATACTGTGGATTGATCCCTGGGTCCTCACACTGAACTATATCCCTGGTGCCTTTTTCAGTTTTTGAGGCCAGGTCTCACTTAGGTTGCCCAGGCGGGGCCCAAACCTCCATTCTTCCTGCCTTAGCCTCCCACAGTGCAGGGACTACAGACACACACTGTGCCTGGTTAGGCTAAGCGTTTAAAGTACACAGCCCTGAAATAAATCTGTAAGTGTATCTCTTCCTGCAGAGACCAACTCTTCTGAAATCATTTGAGATTATTTAGGGAGATACTTAGTAATAATTGCTTCCTCCACATAACTAAAGATCCCTAGCTTTAGTAAATATAAAAATATTTACTGTCATTTTACTTCTTTATGGACAAAGTCAAAGAGTTGATTTTGGTTTTACCTTAGAATAGATATTATAAATAATGAAGTTATTTATCATGTAAGTAAATGCATTTATATTTGTATAGCAAGAAGGTTTGTGACTAAACTCTCTGAGTAACAGCGATATGATCATTAAACATTAAAAACCCTGCAATGTACACTTAAGATATTTACATGTATACATATACTCACAAAGGTTCATTTAAATCAAATTGTAATGGAGAAGGTGGCCTCTTTGGTGATTGCCAAAACAAACCTAATGAAAAGACACAAATGTTAGTTTCAACATATACACCAAGAAGAAATTAAGATTAGAACAACGTCTCAACACTTGCTTATACTTACTGCCATCTTTTAATCGTGTGTCCAGAGGAAAGCAGTGAAGAAGCTGAAGCGCCTAAAGAAAGAAAGAAAAAAAAAAAAAATGAAGAAACTCATTATTTAAATGGGGCAAAACATTTTCTAGAATTAAAATTAAAAATCTTTATGTGCTATTAATATATGCACATGCTTCACAAATCAGAACACAGGAGCGTTTCCCAGTCGGAACAGGGACAGGAACAGAAAAAGGAGGTCTGTTCTCACCACTCTGATTCAACGTAGTATCCCAAATCTGGCAACCAGGTAACAAAAAAAATAAAAGGCGTAACAAATAGGAAAGGAGGTAGTCAAATTATTCCTGTTTGTACATAATGTAACTCTACACTTAAGAAACTCTAAAGACCCTACCCAAAGACTCTTCAAACTGTAAACAAACTCAGTACTGTAGTAGGACACAAAATACAAAAGTGAGGAACTTTTCAGTACATCAGTGAGAATTCAATGAGAAAGATATCAGGAAAACAAGCCCATTCTATAGCCTCAATAAAATGGAAATGAACAGAAAGCCTAGAATAAACCTAACCAAGGAGGCGAAAAGATCTATACAGTGAAAATTATAAAACACTGAAGAAAGAAACTGAGGACACTAGAAATTATTTTAGACTGGGAAAATATTGTTAAAACGGCCACACTACTAGAAGCAACCAACAGATACAATGCAATACCCATCAAAACACCAATGACAGTCTTCACAGAACCAGAAAAACAACCCTAAATTCATTTAAGCACCATACACCCAAAATAGCCACATTAATGTGAAGCAAAAAGAGTAATGCGGAAGCATCACAATACCTTACTTGAAAACATACTAAAAATTTACAGTAATGACAGAAAAAGACATGTAGATGATGGACTAGAATAGAAGCCCAGAAATAAACCCACACATCTACAACCATCTGATTCTCAACAGAAGTGCCAAGAACATATGCTGGAGAAAATGTAGCCTCTTCAGCAAATGGTGCTGGGAAAATCGGATGTTCAGATGTAGATAACTGAAACTAGATCTATCTCACTCAGTTCAAAACTTTAAAACTTGAAACTAATGAAGTAAACATAGAGGAAACATTTCAAGATACTGCCATTGGTAATGACTCCCTGACTATGATTCAACAGCCCAGGAAATAAAAGCAGGACTTAGCAAATGGAATTACATCAAATTAAAAAGCTTCTGCACAGCAAAGGAAACAACACAGTGAAGAGTCACCCTACAGAATAAGAGAATACCTTTATGAGCCATTAATCTACAGACAATATCCAAATTATATGAAGAATTAAATAAAAACCAATAATAAAAGAGTAAGTAATCCAGTCTGAACAAATAGATTTTTTTTTCTTTTTCAGACATGGTCTTGCTATGCAGTTCAAGCTAGTCTTGAACTCACTATGTAGCCCAGACTGGCCTCAAACTCACAGCAATCTTCCTGTCCCAGCCTCTTGAATGCTGGGATTAGAGAGTGTGCCACCATGCTAGATACTTGTCAAAAGAAGTACAGATAGCCAGTAAATCTGAAAAGATACTCAACATCGTTAGTCAGAGAAAATAAAAATCAAAACTGTGTCATGATTCCACTTTACCCCAGTCAGAATGCCTATTATAAAAATAGTAATAATGATAAATGCTGGGAGGATGTGAAGAAAAAGGAACCCTTATACGCTATTAGTTAAAATCTAAACTAGTACAGTCACTATATAAAATAGTATGGAGGTGCCTCTAAAAACTGAAAGTAGAACCATCATATGATTCAGCTATACCACTCCCTGATATGCACCCAAAAGTAATGAAGTCAGCAGACAAGAGAGATGCCTGCATATGCATGTTTACTGCAGCACGATTCACAGCAGCGACATGGAATCACTCTAGCTGCCAGTCAGCAGATGAACAGATGAAGAACCATGCTATATGCTCACAGTGGAATAGCATTCCGCCATTAGGAAGAATGAAGTCACGTCTGTTGTAGGAAAATGGATAGAACCGATAGATACCACATGAAGTAAAATAAGACCCAAGAAGACAATACTGCATGTTTTCTCCCATATGAGGAAAAAGAATAAATTAAAATTAAAAGATCTGAAAGTAGAAGGGCAAGTACTAGGAAATGGCAAGAGGAAACGCAATGAGAGAGTAGAAGAGGGTGGAGGAGAGAGAAGAAAAGAGAGGGCAGTAAGGGAAGGTGGATATGATCAGCCTCAATACATGCATGTATGGGGAGGACATAGCAAAGCCTCATCTGCATAATTAACAGCAGTTAATAAATTACATGAAAAGATATAGTACAGTGAAGTCTGCAGCCACCTTTATGATGTTTATTCTATTACTAACCCCTATGCCTAGAAAAACCTGTAGTATCATTTTTTTACTATACCAAATTCCCAACTTGTGGACATTTTGGACCCTGCATTAGGAACGTTTGTAGCTGTGAACAAATCATGGAAGTAGCTCACGTCTACCTTACTATTTTAAGGTAACTATAAAAGTAGTTTATTTACAGTATTTCTGTATGTGTTTGGCTTTATAATGTTTTACACTGTATATTTGTATATTAAATTTATACACTGTTGGACTCAATGAATCCGACTTACGAACATTCTCCTGGAACAGAATTTGTAAGTCGGGGACTTATTGTACTTTAAAAAAACATCTAGAGCAAACAAGAATATAAAATAATTTTACTTCATTGCATACAAATGGTGGAATTTTCTGTTTTCAAAGTTAATCCTTATATAATGCAACAAGTAACAATACATAGTATTGCGTTTTGAAATTTGCTTCAGAATCATTTTCGAGGAGAATGAGATGTAGATTAAACAAAATAATATGTAAGCTGATAATGATTAAGTTAAGGTGACAGGGAAATGATTATACTAGGGGATCATTAAACTATTTCCTCCATCTTTCTGTAGTTGAACTTTTCCAATAATGAGAAAGGTTTTAAAAAACTCGTAGAAGATCTAAGCAGTGTTAAGATTCTGAAACAAGTCAGTGGCAATGATAGTAAGAACGTATAGTAACTAGAAGGAAGCTGAATTTATTGGGTGAGGAAGTACTTTTCCTAGCAGCAGAGCCATGAAGAAAGTAAAGGATGAAAAGACAAGACAACTATATTCAAAAGATTTTCACAGGGTGAGAGCACTTGCCTAGTGTGCACAAGAGTTTGGGCTGGAGTCCCAGGACAGGAAAAAATTTTAAAATGAAGTTAATTTATATTCTGAGAGTAGAGTAAAAACCTAAAGAGGGAGACTGAAGAAAGCACAGGCCACATTCTAGCAACTGCACTGAATTCCAAGTAAAGGTTTTCATTAGTGATCATTTATGTGCCACGCTCTTTCTAAATGCTTTACATGTATTAACTCATTTGATTTTTGGCACAACACAGGGGTTAGAGACCAACCTATTTTCCATTTACAGTTGAGGATGTAAAATCAGGTGGCTGGTAAAGTGCCAACAAAGTTCTTGACTGAGTATCATTTATTTTCTGGTTTTCTGGTGATATTCTGAATATCTTTCAGACTACAGACAAAATGTATTCTTAATGTCCAAGAGAGAAAAGCTATCTAAAGCACAGAAAGATCAGTTACTTGCATACATGTTAGGTCAGTAAGTACAATTTAAAAACAGTTATGTGCCAAGCCCTTCTCACTATTTCCGAAAAGCTTGATGATGGAATGAATAAACATTTTAGGCCAATGACATTAATTCAGTAATAACTAAGTAAGCTGAGGTCATATTTTTTCTTAATGTTTCAGAATGTATGCTTACCTTATGGTTAAAATATTTTTCAAATTTTAATCTTGCTAATTCTACACACTGGGGCCAATTTCTAGGTCTTCTGCTGAGTAACTTAATAACTTGAAAACAACCTTCTAGACTCTGTCCACTTTGTATCTTCTGGAATAGGAGGGAAAAAAAGCAAAACAAAAACAAATATATATTCAATTAAAAACATACACATGTTCCATAGGTATCAAACAAAGCCTGAAGTGCCTGCTCATGTGTTTAATATTGTTATTCTATTTTTTTTTCATTTCAAGCTCCTTGCCTGTCTTTGTCTTCATTTCTCTTTTAAAGGAAGAGAATGGGAGGAAATAGCATAACATATTTTAACTATGAAGTTTCTTAACTCAGAAGATATTCTCAAGCATTCCTAGCTGCAAGTTATTAGCACTATATAAGTACTTATACATGTTTACTTAGTATATGCAGCCCAATAATAATATTTAATACTAAGAGGTTGGCCTTTTTAGTAGTATAGGATTAAGGCCTCAGGCAAAAAGCAGGAATTGAAGTTGCCCCCATTATGAAGCAGAAAGTGAGATTACTGTCCATTCCTGACATTTTCACTAGAATTTACTTGTGTTATTTTTTTCCCCCAGAGGTTAACAGGTACTTTCACTATTCTTTGCTCTTTTACCATTAATTATCACATATGCTTATTAGGTTGAATCACATGAGTTGCTCTTCTGTCACTTGAACGTAGTCAAATATTGACAATTTCAATGGAATTCAATTGAACTCAAAAGAGGTCACTTGTGATCTAATATCAAGACTTCTTATGTATCATTTCTCTTCTTATATACAGTAAAATAAAACACTGAGGACTTGAAAATCATCCTAACACAAACTATCAGGTTTATATTAAAATACATTGATCTTTACCTGTAAGACTTCTGCTGCAGATGGATATGTTTGCCAAAACTTGTTAAATAATGAAGGCTTGTGGGAAAAGGAACTTTCAAACTGTAAGGAAGAACAAACAAAAAATTACAAATAGAAGTCTGTCTAAAAGTTAGAATTATCTTCTTTCCTACTTCAAAGAAAAATTCTTTGTAAAGAACTTTTACCTTGTCTCTTGCCCACTGTATAGTATGCTCAATAGCAGCTGGAAAGGATTTCAGAGTACAAAATGGTATTTCCTGTTCTGGGGGATCCCGCTGTTATGAGGTATGACAGTAAATAAGAGAAGCAATGAGAATTTTTTTTCAATTGAGTTTTAGTTTTTAAAACAAATATAAAAAATAAAATCTAAAAATAAATAAATAAAATCCAACCACACTTTTGTTCTTTCTCTTGTAGGCAGTAAGAGGAAATATTAATTCTTTTAACACTTAACCTTCATTAACACTAATAAAATAAGACATGAATTCTATTTTCATTCACTCTCAGTGCACGCATTTGGCATACTCAAGGCAGATCAACATACATAATTCATTTTTTTCTAGAGAAATCAATATGACAATTAAAATATTACACTACTCCTTACTCTGAAAAGTGATTCAAGAATCATCAATATAGTGCTCAGTGTGCCACGACCCTCTCCATGGATAAAAACAGTGGGGACCAAGGATGCTTGTAGCTTCTTGCATAAACTGAAGCTATGATTAGAGTTATTTCATGTACTGAAGTATCAATGAAGAAGCTCATGATCTACTATGAGGTACATGTAACCTAGGTTTACTGATTGGTTTATCCAATCTAAAAGTGACTGACTTTGTTTCTTTTTACTTAAAGCTTTACATTTTAGTTTATCTATGAAACACCATTAAACATTTTATAAATCAAAGAGGGAAGCCCGAAGAACATTAAATTCCAGGCATTATGAATTTGAAATAAAAAAAAGGTTTAAAGACATGGTAATATGAGACAATCACCGAAGTTTTAGAATTGTATAACATTCCCTACTTTGAAAATTTTCAAATGATGTTCAGCACATTATGATTTTTTTGCCATCTAATCTTCAGATAACATTTATCCATTTAGCCTATTTCATTACAGATATAAACTCATTAAGGAAACATGGAAAAACCATAAAAATTTTAGTAAATCAAACATATTCATTAAATAAATAATTATTCTTATACAAACATTATTCAATATTTTATTTGAGGAGATCTTTTAAAAATTGTAAAACTGGGCCAGAGATATAGCTCAACAGCATAGCACCTGCCTGGCAAGTGCAAGGTCCTGAGTTCAATTCCTGGTACCAAAAACAAAACAAGACAAAAAAATCACACACACACTCAAAACTGTAAAACCTACAGTTATTTCCTAGATCAGTGGTTTTAACTTTGACAGTGCTGCCAAATCATTTACTAGGGTTACAACGTTACATTTATATCACCTATGTAATATCTGAATATAGATGGTTTTGGGTTTCACCTCTGAAGAATGTGACTCTCTAGCTAGATTTTGAGTGTCTTTAAGTGTTGCATGTTCATCATATTTCAACGTAATTTCTGACAATGAATGCTAGGGGTGTGAATTCCTAATGGAGATAGACAGTAGGCATGAGTGCACAGTAACTAGACTTGCATTTTTTATATATTGTACCAGCTGTCTAACAGAATAAAAACAAAAGAACGGAAGATGGGTATAGTTTTAGGACTTTGTTGATATTCTAAGCTGAATCTAAAAGTTTAATTTTTCTTAACAAGCAATGTAAACTCTAAGATTGCTAGTAAATGTATCAAGAAACAAATAGTAAAAATAAAAATACTCAGGGAAGACCAGACATAAAATTTTAATTTTAAAAAGTACTCAATTGTATTTTTAAAAGTGAACATGTATATATGTATGGACATAATCAAAAAAGCAGAAACAGATTAAGAAAGTTAAATCAAACTTCTTGACTCACTGAGAAAGAAAAAAAAAGACATTTACTTCAAAATACCGATTCACTTACATGACTATTATAGGATTCCGTTAAGTGAGGTACAATAACTTCCGTGTGCCCCTTAGTGCCCATGGTTCCAGAGTCTAAGAGAGGCCGAAGATTTGCTAAGCAACGGCTGTTTGAAATCACAGTATGAAAAACAAAGTGAGCAGTAACAGTGTAAGTTCAGGATATGCACAGAACGATGGCTTTCTGAGTGCAGGAGACAAGACACACCAACCCTAAACCACCCCGGAACAGCTCCACTTCCCAGCCCTGCCACACGCATAGCTGTTTCATCAACGTAACAGTTTTTGTCTTTCCCTTCCATTACTGGGACCAGATTGTGGGCTTTGTTTCCTCTTATCTCTAGGTTAATTCTTTACTATGTTAAGCTTTCTTCTCTTGCTTTCTATATTCTTTGGTTGTTTTCTGACACAAATTCTACCCTACTATACCTTTCCATTGTTCTTTATCCCAAATAGTATAAGCCTTCAATACTTAGAATACCTGTAGTTCTGTACACTTTAATTCCTTAAAATTTTCTCCTTTTCTTGCACTCAAGATTACAATCTTTTCATTACATTTCTCAATTGGGAGATACCCTTCTGTCGATACATTTACTCTAGCATCCTAACATTTAAGTATTCACATGATGGGGTATGAATGAATGAATGGGGTATGAAAGCCAAGGTAAGGTGTACATATTTATAGTCACTCATTCATTTACTCATTTAACAAACATTTCCCGGCATGTGCCGGGAACTAAGAATAAAGTAACAGAAAATAAATGATCTCTGGCTAGAAGATTCTGTGAAGAAGTAAGCATTAAATAAGCATTAGTATCAAGAAAAGTAAGAGTCATGAAGGAAAATGTATTGAAAATGTATATTTGGGGATTAAAGAAAATAGGTCATAAGGCATGAAGCCTGAGAAGGACAGGACAAAGAACACCCTAAGTGAAGAGAAGGTAAGTAGATGTGGGTAGGGGATTTGGAGCAAGAAAAGAGGTAAATTTTATGCTGGATTGGTAGAAAGGTGGCAGGTGTTGCACGAAAAATATTTAAGCTATTATCAATTTTGAATTTTATTCTTAAGTACATGCAAAATCATCAAAGATCTAGGTTTGAGAAGGATAGTAGGAAACTGAATAATAATAAAATATTAGGGAACTTTTCAGTAAGTATGTGTGGGAAACAGAAATAATAAATAAAAGATAATTCTCTATAAACCTGTATTTCAGGAACATACCTGTCAACATATCTCCTGGCTTCCACATTATCTAATGCTGTAATAATTACATCTTGTTTAGTATAAAACTCATCATTATAAATGGCCTCAGTGGCTGGACATACTTTGTTCAGATGTGCATCTATCTTTAATTGAGGATTTATTTTCAGAGTTGCATCAGCAGCAGTATAGCTCTTAGGTTTCTAGACAAATACAAACAGAGGAATAAATTTTAAACAAAAAAGTTAAACCATAGTTGAACTTACACATTCTCACCACTCTGGAATATTATGTATGAGGTGAATGCAAGGAATGAGGTTAATTTTCATTTCTGGTTTGTGGAAGTTGTAGTCACTATAGTTACATTACATTTAATAATGCACATTGGACCGCCCAATTACTATGAAAAGTCTAAACAACCTTTATTTCATAGCTACGTGTTTCAGAGTCTTAGGCCCAATTAGTTTCTTTTTTTCACCCTAGTCATGTTTGACTCAGTAAGTGGCTAGAAAACAATAAGGACCCATTCAGCAAATACTGGAAAACAAGACGGTACAGAAAATAAACTTCTAGATATAGGACCACTTTAGTCTCTGTAACTGAAAATGCTTAACGTTATTTGGAAGGATGTATCTTTAGAAAGTATTACTTATCTTTCAGTTATAGGAAAAAGGGTATCCTAAAAACAAATCATTCTGATTTAGTTAATTATTAGACTCATTTCAGGTGTCTGTGGGTGCTGGCTCTCACACTAAATTTCCTTAGAGTGCTCTGCTCAAATTTACATACCGAGTTTTAAAGGCATCCCTGTCTCACACTGTTAGGCTGATGTTTCCCTTCTCACTGTTCTTAGTGTAAAAACAATCAGAAAGGGTTGTTAGAACCCAGTAAAATAATAAACAGGGTTTTATAGTCCCTCTACAAGTAAAATGTATAAAATGAATAAATTTTGTGAATTTATGAGACCCTATCATTTTGCCCAATACATTTAGCTAAGTGAGACAATAGGTTCACTATGTCACCTGCTTTAGTTACCTTCCATCCATGACATGCCTAAGCTTCATCTACTATTAGGATTACAAATCAGCTATCTAATAAGGAGAATAAATTTCTAAAGGAAATTTGATTGACTAAAACTACTTTTCCTGACATAAACACTTTGATATCTATTAAAAAAAGACTAAGAATAAGCATTCTTTTACAATAAAAGAGATGTTATAAAACAAGATTAAAAATGTACAAAAAATACTAATGTTAAGATTTACCTGTTTTAAAACAAAGACCAAAAAAGTTAGTTTCAAATTTTTGATCTGTCAAAACTTTGAATTAGGTTGTTTCAATACACCTAATATGGAAACATACCTTAGGGATTACAAAATGACAATACATTGTTCACATTTCACAACTCGAATTTTAATATCCGAAATCAACTCAGAAATCAATTTTTTGCCTTAAAAGAATTTTAATTATTTTCTTTTGTCCTTCCCATTATCTAATAAGCTGAGATTCTAATGTAGTCGTATCTATTCAATCTCTATTTTCTACTTATAAAAAGGAAACTTTTCTTTTTTATATACTACAATAGATTATTTAAATTTGAAGCAGAATAACAACATACCTGTATGTGATGAGGACGAAACAGGAATTGCCTATTTAAGTTTGATTTTTCTATCAAGTCAGGATCTGTAACTGTAACCTAATGTCAAGAGGTGAACACAACAGATTTCTCAGTAATATTAAAACAATACCTACATATTATAAATATTTTGGCTGGTAAAGATCCTAAGAATGCAAGTATTCCAAAATCACCACCAATACTACACTTTTGCACTTGTTCTCAAAATGCACTTGTACCTCAAGCTAGTATTTTTAAACTGTGTTCTAGCTGTTAGGGTTGACTACTATTCACAGACCTATTCATTTTGGTTTAGCTGGCATTTTCTTGTTATTTCAACATTTCTATGTGATTATATATTATGGTGCCTTTTTCAAATGAGTAACAGCACAAAATCAAACAGAAAATGTCTAACAGAAAACCTTAGTGAACTTATAACTGTGATTACTTATATATGTCTTTGTGCTTTTACCTCCTCCGAATTGCCCTTTATTCCCTCCACTCTGTATTCTATTAAATTAATTGGTTTTCTTTTCTTCAACTTGCTTGGAAGTTAAATGTTTATTTTTATGTGGTTATGCTCAAATCTTATATAACTTAAAATTAAAAATTAATTAAAATTTCTATCCTCTTCTTGAACAGAGAATAAACTATTTAATTTGCAATTCTCCCCTGTACTTTCCACTGATATCAATTAACATTTTACATTTATTTCTGACCAATCCCCTCCCAAACCAGTCATTATTTACCAATTTTTAAAATCAATTCCTATTTAAATTATACTACTAACAAATACCTCTGCTTATCCCTCATGAAGGGCCCACATTACCTAGTTTTCAGTAAGAACCAATGGTGATAACCTTCCCTCATTTACCTGTCAGTTATCTTTACTTTGCCCTCCCTTCTGAAAGATAACTGAATACAGAAATCTGTCATTTTCTCTTGCACTATAAAGAAAAGCTTCCACCATCTTCTAGCATTTATTTTAGAATCAGATCTGTGTTTTATCTTTACCTTTGATTTGTGTGGGATTAGTTACCTTTTCAAATTGAGTATATTTATCTTTCTTCAATTTGGGGAACTTTTGTCATTACCTTTTGAATATATTACATTGTTGCTTCTCTTTCTCTGTAAATTCCACTAGATTTATGTTGGACACTACAAATACATCTTCCTTCTCGAAAAAGGTATCTTTCTGCACTCCATTTTGGGTGCTTATTTATTGTCTACTTGCCGATTCTCACATCAGTCATATCTAAATTTAAATTCATGGTTACTTAGAAGTTCTTATTTGACATTCTGCAAAAATTTCAGGGTGCTATTTTTTCCTTTATGCTTTCTTTTCTTTTTATCTTTGATCATTTGTCACTTTAACGTTTATTCTCCCATGTAAGTTTACTCTACTGCAGCAGTGCTCTTAGCTACAGGGGCCTAATTCTTCTATTTGCCTTGGCCGATTCTTCTCTGAGGTGGTTCCCTCTTTCTAATCATTTTTTAAGTGGATCCTCTTGCATGAATGTTCATTTTCCTGCAATTTTAGGTGCTCCATGTGAGTGCCACCATGATGCAGTTTTACATTTCCTTTTGTCAGAGGTCTGGAGATTTCAAAAGTTCTACGTAAGTTATTTTCATTGCTCTGCTTGAAGTTTTTCTACAACATAATTTTGAAGGCGTGTACCAGTATGGCATGTGCTCTGAGTTTTAATTTCTCACAAACAACTTCCCTTTGTATTTAAGGCTTTGGAAAGATATTCAAAATAGAGATAACATTTGTGAGTCATGATGAATTTTACCTCATGATTTTATTTCTCTTGATTTCTGGCATTTGCAGATTTCTCTTTCTACCATGGCTAGATACACAAATGCTTAAAATAGTCATTTTGTTGGCCAACATGATAAATCTAAACAACTTACTAAAGCTAGTTTAGATCTTAAAAGGTCAAACAACACTAATGAAATATATTTTTATTTAAATATATGACCTGGCCATGCACTTAGCTCACATTTAAGTTAGCCTTATGGACAGAAATTGTACACCAAAGTCTGTAACAGTCCCAGGACTTTACTCACCAATCAAAACTACTTCAGAATACTTGGCAAATTTCTAATGTTTTCTCTCGTTTAAAAGGTTTTACAGTTAACAGTACATGATAGAGATAATAACCAAGTGCTTTACTTTGCAAAGCTCTTTCTCATTGGATCTTTATAATAGTTCTATGAGGTGAAGTAAGTAGGACAGAATGCTTTTTTGGAATACTGTATTAAAGAAAGAAACAAGGAAACAGAATTAAAGTAATCAGTAACAAAACTACATAATCTGAAAAGTGGTCAGGAGACAATAGAATCTTCCAATTTGTAGTTTAATCCTCTATCCTTAAGAACTCATACTCTGTGTGTGTGTGTGTGTGTGTGGTCATACACAATTCAAGAAACACCAAGAGAAATGTATGCTTTAGCTCACAGATTTGTATCTTACCATTCCTTTCTCTTTGCTTGTACCAACCCCAAGTAAGGCCAAATTTTTTAACATTTCACAGCCTATGGCTCCACATCCTACCTACGGAGAAGAAAAACAACAAATCACATTACACGAGATATCAACTGAATATTGATTTCACTCTAATTTTCTTCAAATGCTAAGTTACAAAAGATATGTACTTTAACACGTTCACAACAGGACCTTATTTCGTATGTCTCGATGCTGGGTGGCTTGAATCACTAGTGGTCCATGCATGACTGTTCCATTGGACAGCTTTTCATTACTTTTATTAGTAAAAAAGACTAGTAAAAGTGATTAGATCTGTTTGTACCACCAGTAGTATACCTACCCGATGGGACAGTCATGCATATACCCCTGGTGGTTCAAGCAGGTAGGAATAAGTTAAAAGTAAGTGGACTACTACTGACTCATCTTACTTTAAAATATTTAATAGCTTTATTATGCCTTTATAAGTGTCTCAAAGAAAAAAGCCTAACAACTACATAAGGCATAATATTTATAATTTCTTTAAGCAAGAAGATATTTACGAATACCAAATAAATTTCACAAAAGATTAGTACATTGTCATGAAAGAGTCCTTACTTTTAAGTATTGCTCAGAACTCATTAGATGAATAGATGAGGCTAGGGCTTCCCTAATATTTTTAAGTAAAAACAACAAAAACTGATATTCAATTCCACATATACAAAAAAGCTCTGCAATAACTAGTTATCAAAACATTATTTTAAAATGATTAATAAGAACTAGTAGTATTTTCAGGAGTGACTTATAATAATGATAATAAAATACACAAGGACTTTTATGTTCAGGAAAACTTCCCTGGTATTGCACTAAGATAGCTAAGACAGAAACACCTATACTATTTCCTCATAGCGAGAAACAAAAATATGAAGTTTTTATGTACTTCTGAAAATCAGTAAATGTTAAAAACTGTCATAGTCAAATTTTAATTTGAGGCCAGGAGTGGTGGCACATGCCTGTAAACTCAGCACTCAGGAGGCTGAGGCAGGAGAGTGCTATGAGTTCGAGGCCAGTATGAACTACATGAGACCCTGCCTCAAAAAATAAAAAATATTACTTTGAAATGTACTAATTCTTTAGACCACAAGGTAGCAAATTTTTTATGTGAAGGGCTAGACAGTAAGTATGTTCAGTTTTGCAGGCTATCTAGTTTCTGTCACAACCATTCACTCAGACCGATACTAAATTACTCAACTCTGCCCTTAATAAATTTATAATATACAACAGCAGTCTGAATGTACGGCTTACTCACATCATTATTTACTTACTAAAAAGATATTCAAATTTTGCAGCTTCTGACACAAAGTATCTCCAATGCAGGCTCGTAAAGCATCATACCTATCGCCTCTGAAGAAAACAACACATAGGAAAACAGATAAAAAAAATTACTAAGGTTAGTTTCATTATCATTAATAACAAGTACTGTGCTTTAGAACAGAATATACTTTTAAGAGTTTCCCCCAATCTATCAGATGAACTATACTGTTTAAAGACAAAAGGTCTCATAAAAAAAAAAATTCAGCTTTTCCTTTTTCCATTTGATTTAGTAGCTTAAATTCTACTGACGGAAGTGAGGACTTTAGTTGACAGCAGCCCTCCTTATCCACTGAGAATATGTGGAGTAAGTTTCAAGACTCCTAATGGATGCCTGAAACCAGAATGGTATCCACACATATGTACACTAAACACATACACACACACGTGTACAAATTTAATGCCTTTCTCATCTTAGCTAAGTAATTAACACAGACTGTGGTTTTAATTTTTGCAGTTTCATGTGATGGAAAAATTAGTACAAATTTTTTTTCTTCCTCCCAATTTGAGTTACATGATTTGTCCTCAATATTGATCTAAGCCACTTCAGCACACCACCTTTTTTCTTTGCTTACTGAGAACACTTACTTTTTCATTTAAAGACAGCACTTTTCTTTCTTTCCTTTGGTATATCCAAATTGCCAGCATCCTTGCTTGTGCATTTTGAGACCATTTTTAAGTAAAATAAGAGCATATCTGCATATAAATGACCATGATAATGTAGAAACAGGACTAAGTAACCAAGGGTGCTCAGCATGGATATGATGGACAAAGGGGTGAGTCAGCCCTGCACACCCCCATGAGATTTAATATGCTACTAGAAAAATGCACAACGTAAAACTTACTATTTATTTCTGGAATTTTCCACTTAGCATTTTTGAACTGCAGGTAACTAAAATCTTGAAAAGTTAAATTGTGAGTGTATGTGTGGGGACCACTGTACCTGGAAAATTGTTTTCTGAGCTAGTGAGTTTTAAAAAAAATTTCTAAGAGAATTTGTGGGTAGACTTTGGAGTTATTAACCCAGTGAAATTGAAGTAAGAACTCTGAATTGTGTATTTCAGGGAGAATGAAATCTCCGAATTTTTATCAGGCTCTGAAAGAGATTTATGAGCCTGAAAGGTGAAATGAGTGACACAAAGACTGCAGATAATAATTTTTTCATTTAATATCATTAAATTACCATACTTAAGCCTTAGATAAGCAGCAAATGCAGAAGTAAACAAGTTAAGAGAAAAATCATTTAAAATGGATGTTTAGATAAAATCTCAATCTCTTTGCCTCTTATAAAAATGTAAGAAAAAGAATAATAGAAATTTTAGCATTACCGTGGGAGAAATTCTTCATATTCATGTTTGCCTAGGGATTCGACAATGTCTGCTGCTTCAAGATATAACTTAAGGTAGAAAATTAAAAACATAATTTACTGTATATATACAAAACTTAAATTATTAAAAATAGCTGTTCTATAGTTACTTAATAGCAATGGGAAAAGATGATAAAAATGTCAATTCAGAATAAAGTAACAGTTTAAAAAACTTTTTACTACATACATTGTCATTCGATAGTGGTAAAACATGAAAGAACTTTTGAAAGACATGTAATTTAACTCCTGTAACTCAGCCATCCTAAAAGTATCTTCTAATCTTAAAAGGAAATCTCACCCCCAAATCTATTTCTCATAACATAAAAACTTGGAAGCCCCATTTAATTTCAGCAACACTAAAGTAAGTAATTTGATTAGTGTTTGATTCTATACTTATTTTCAAGTTTGGTTACATCATCTATAACAAGTACGCTATAGAAGAAATGACTTAAGAAGTCATAATTTCAACATTTAAAAAAATACCAAACAGAATTAATTTCATTTAGTGAAAATAAAGAATAGTCTGACTCTAATATTCACTTAAGTAACCTACATGGTTATATTTGAGCATGATCAAATGGTTATATTAAATTGTAACAGTTTACATTAATAATAAAACTAATTTCTATTTCCTATGTTGTTAACCATTGTAACCAAACCAAATATTCACTAATCACTTTGTATTCCATATTACTCAGCAGCAACATATCAGTATGTGAGTACAATGCTATATTCAAAATATTTAAATTGTTTCAAAACAAAAGGGGCTTAAATACTGTGTCCTTGGATAATTTTGGCCAACTTTTCCTTCTGGTAACAGAAATGAGTGTTTTTATATCATCTTACGATGTTTCTATCCTGTACAATTTTTAAACTTGCAAGATTCCTGTGTACTACACACCGTTAGAAGTTTACATGTGGGAAGGGGACCTGAAGATTCATGATGGTAAAACATTTCATGGAACAAGTATAAGAGTCCTGTGAGCCCCACAATGGAGGAAACTGTAAGGTTAGGAAATCTGTTCATTCACGTTCACAATAGCGGGGAACATACCAGGGAAGGCCATGGGGGTTACACCACGGAGTCTTGTATTTAGGCTTTGGAAAGCATATAACTCTTCTCTCTCATGCATTAAAAATACTACAAGGTCACTTTTCTAACACATTATTTAGTACTACATTATAATGCATAACACATTCAGTCTGTAAGTGGAGAAGTCAACCTTATATGTGAAGAAATATGAAAATTCAGAACTAACCCACTGGCATAAAGGAGAAAACTTTCCGGTTACAGCTTTCAGTACTTCTTGACTAGCAACTCCTCCGACTGCTGCAGCAAGCGGGGGTAAAAAGCCTCGGGCAGTCCAGGCGAGCCCACGCACAATGTCAGCGTCTACCTTAGGCTGAAACACAAGCCAAGACAGACTACAGTCCTATGAGTACTCATCAGTATTCTGAGAATTCCAGTGACTACATATAGAAATGACTAGAATTTAACCCCTAACAAAACTACTCAATTTCCGTACTAACTAGATTTTAAGTCTCAGTCTCATAATAAAAAGACCCATATGCATGTTACCTTCAGCTGCGCTTCCTTGAACTAGCACCAGCCCATTTTTGCTTTCTGACGCTACGTATCTGCCTATGGCCTCACTCAGAAACAGCAGGACTGTCTACCATTTACAGCTGGTGGTAAAGAACAGTTACATAAGGCCAACCAATCATATTTATAAACCTAGCATTTTTAAAAAGTAATGAAATCTATAGAAAAACTTTAAACTTAGATAAATGAAAATACAGTGATCCATAAAAATGAAAAGCTATTAGTTTGTATTAGAAGTGAGGAATGACACAACACATTGTTAAACAGATAAAGTTCTCAATGACTATAATTAAAACAAGTACTTCTCAAAAAAAGGTAATTGTTATTTTAAAGGCAATACCAGAAAAGCGGCTCTGGAGCTACTGTATTAGCACAATTACTTACTGGTGACAAGGACCTTTTCATAAGCTCTGGCTTCTCTTTCTTTTCCTATTCTCTCAAAATTAGTAACCTTAATTTTAAGCTGAAGCTTCATGTTGGGTTCAATTAATCTTCTCAAGTCCTATGAAAACTAGCACTTCTTGTGTACATCAGAGGGGAGAGAAGAATTATATTACATTCTCAAAAATATCTGTGATACAGAAATGGTTAATGTCTACTCATTATTACATCACTTCAGTTCAATTTTCTATATCTCACTATTTTCAACTATTTAGCAATAACTTTAATTTAGAGGGACTATTGATTTATTTAAGTTGTACCATTTTTTTAAAGCAGATATACTGTCGGTGGCGATAACATTAAAATAATTAGCACAATAATAGAAACACTTTGAATAAGTACTACTGTGACAAGTATATAGTAAGTCCTTATATAATATTCAAAACAATCAGAGGAAATATTTTTATTATGTGAGAAAACTGAAACTCTGAAATATTAAGTAACTTTACCCAAGGGTGTATAGCTAGTAAGTGGGAAACCCAGGATCTCAACTTATGAAGTTTAACTTCACAGCTGTATTCTTACCATGAGGTTACACTATCTCCCAAAATTCTATTCTTTTTAATAAGCAAACAAGCATCCAAATCTTGAGAATTTTCAGTTGCCCTAGAATAATGATAGCAGCCTAAATCTAAATTTGTTCATATAATCTGCAAATACATGATGCACAGCCACGGGAACAAAAAAAAAAAAATGCTGACGTGTCTTCAGCACTGCTAGTTAACAGACTATAAGCTTCAAGTTACTTGTAAGTAGCACAGACTTGAAATGCCTGCAGAGTGAACAGGACTCCACACTGGCACAGGTCCCCACGGAGCACAGAAAATACGGAGACCACAAAACACAAAATAAAAGCCTAACGATAACAAAGCATTGTCAAAATCATTCTGAAAAGAAGTTCCATGCTAAATGTAAAACATACCCAACACAGGTGTAAATCAACTGAGCAAGTCTCTGCACTGGCTAGGGTAATACAATTTTTCTGGGAAAGAATTATGTAAACATAAAAAGGGAAGATACCCATTGGTAGAGAACAATAGAGAGGGAAGATCTGACAATGATCAAAGGGATCTCCAGGACATGCCAACACCTCCAAAAAAATCCATTAAGGATAATCCTGTTCAGTATCCTGAGGGTGTTGCCAGAGCAGACATGTTCAAATGAATTATATGTTCTTACAAGGAAGCACTTGGAGATGTGGAAGGAAAAAAAAAAAATAGCTTGAAGTGTGAACTCCAAAATGCAGAGCAAAAATGATCTATTCTAGCCTTCCAAAAAAGGGGAAGAAACAGTGGGAAACATGCCAAGACAGTTTAAGAAGAGTGTTTTCAAGAAATGAACTATAATTACTGGACATTAAAGAACAACAAAATTACCCTTCCTCTGTACTTTATACAATATATAAAATGAACTCACAAAACTATAAAGTTTTGTGAAGTCCTGTACTATAAAGTTGTACAGGAAATTGGTGAAAAATCATTTACACAAGTCCTATACATACTTTGGAGACATGTCTTGATTGGTACCTTGCACAGTATACAAAAACAAACTTATAAAACTACCAAATTATAAAATTTCTAAAGAAAACATGAGGGAAGAATTTTTTGATCTTAGGTTTAAAAGATTTTAGGGAATGAGGGTGTAAGTTCAGTGGTACATGCTTGTCTCACATGTGCAAGGCCCTGGGCTCAATCCCCAGCATTGCAAAATAAATATAATAAAATAAAATTAAATTTTAGGATGATGTGGCCACAAAACATATGAAGAGAATATTTCTGAAACATGTAGCTAATAAAAGACTCATATTTAAAGTATTACAAAATTTAATAAATATAATCAGAAAAAATATGCTCAAATTCATGGTCAATAGGGAAGTTCAAATTAAATTTACAACCAGATTGAACTACACATGTTAAAATGGTTACCACAGAGACAATACAGACTTTGGAGGAATCCAGATGAACTGAAAAGTATACTTCTCCTAGGAATGTGCACAGTACTGCTGCTTTGCAAAACACCTACCATACAAATTTCTAATAAACTTCTAGATGACTATCCAAGAGAAGTGGAAATATACATCCACATCAAAACCCATACACAAATGTCTACATTTGCTTTATTCAGCATCAGTCTTACTGGAAAACAACCCATGTGTTCATTAACCGGTGAGGGATAAAACGTGGTCCACCTACAGTGGATACTGTTCAACAAGATGGAATGAACATGTAACAGCATGAAAGAAAACCAACTCATGTAGAGCTAGTAAAAGGGTCCATATTTGACTCAGGCTAGGCATTACATGATTCCATTTATATGACATTGTGAAAAGGCCAGTAAACTACAGTGGCTGTCGGCTTTGGTTGCAGAAAGGGAAGACGACTGTAAAGAAACATGAGGGGACATTTCGGCACATGGAAATGTTTTCTATCTTAATTATGGTGGTGGACACATGACTGTACACTTTCAATTCATGGTGTTCAGCTGAATTAACTGTGCACAGAATTTTGTTGGCCTACACCTAAAAAGGGTAAATTTCACTTTATGTAAATTATACCTCAAAAAGCCAGGTGAATCCCCTTAATCACATCCTTTTCTTTAATCATACACTTCTATCTACTTCTATCTCTTCACATTTTTTTCTCTAATCAGTATACAATAAAAGTCTTTCATTTATGGCTAGTGATTCATTATTTCTGGTATACTTATTATTTCCTTCTTTGTCTTAATTATAACATGAGCTTGAAGCTTCTTACCACTTTAGACCTTCATTTCCCATTTTTAAAAACAAAATAAAACCAAAAGCTATAAAATCTTCAATTAACTGCACAAACATTGCTACACTGATAGCTTTTAAACAAACTGGAAGGCACTATATTTCTAATATGATAAAAGCATTTTCTAAGTGATATATTGAAGACTTGAGTGATGTATATATAACACAGTAGAAAAGCTGAAGACTTCAAACAGTGTTAGTGGGATAACACTTCAAGCAAATCAGAACAGAACACAAATAATGCTAATAGTACTAATACAACAGCAACAGCGGATAGTAATTAAATGTCTTAGTATTCCAAGCGCTGTACTTTACAAAATTAAATCACTTAAAGTTCACAACAACCTTTCAGAGAAGGTGAATTCCTTTCCATAGATTCATAAGCAAAGACAGAAAACACTAAGAAAAACCTGCCCCGTGTCACATAATTAGTAAGGAGCAAAGCTGGGACTTGAAGAATAGGACAGTAATAATATATACAGAATATTTGTACATTACAATCAAATCCTTTAACAGCCGTAACTTTAAATATTCACCTTTTCATCCAATGTTTCACTTACAGACGTTGCTAGTTTCAATAGCTCTTCTATATCTTCTGGATATCTATGATTTAAAAAACAAAGCATCTCAACTTCAATTTCCTCAATTGCTATAATCAATAGATCATATTCAAAACTAAAATTTAAGACAAATTTTAAGTTCAGTGATTTAAAGGTTACTGGCTTATAAATACATTACTTCCAAATTATGACCACCTAAAAATAGTATCTGAGATTTACTTTTAAATACATAAGATTTTTTACTCTTGACTTAGGCTACAAAGGAAAGAAATGTCATGAATAAGCAGTAATTCTCTGATGTTTTTGTTCTAAAAAGCTGTAGCTTTTAAAGTCTTCAAAATAGGAAAACTCCCACTTAATGATTCCATGTTTGTAGACTGATTAATTATACCAAAAATCCCCCAAAATAAAACCCACAAAAACCCCATAATGTCATAATAAATGCTTAGAGTTTCACAAATTTACTGGCACTGCAAATGTGAGGCTTAGTTAACTTTTTGAAAGGAAAATTACAATTCCTTATGCTGAATGTGATCATCATGTATATTGAGAGTACCAATAAAATTAATTAAAAAAAAAAAGAAACCAGTTATATCACCATTCAAAGATAGTAACTATTATGATTTGGTTGTAACCCTTCACAGTTTTCAAGAAATAAATACAAATACATACATAAAAAAAGAAAATTACAATTTCTGAAACACTGCTTACTCCTCATTTTAAATTTTGAGCAGGGTCTTGCTAAGTTGCTAAATTACCCAGGCTGAGCTGGAAGGTGCAACCCTCCGGCTTCATCGCCCCATAGTGCTCAGATCACTGATGTGCACCACCACGCCCAGCTAACCATTTTTAGGCAGAGAACATTACCCAATATTTGGCTTGCGACTGTAGTTCTCCTGAAATTGGTCCAATGCAAGCATAGCTGTGTGAATCTGCAAAGGCACCTATTCAGGAACATTAAACATGGGCCAACATTTAGTGTTTCATATTGTGAGGCACTGTGCTTTAAAAACATTATTTAATCTTTATAATAAACATGTGATCTATGATACTCTGTCTATCATAGAGAAGTAAAATGAATTGACTTCAAGGGCCCACGTTTCAATTCCAGGTGGTATATACAGCACTGCCAGGCTAGTCATAGGAAACTTAAAAGAATATACTGACTGAGCAACAGTAACAAAACACTTATACAACATAATCTGATCTTTTTCTCTATCAAAATTTACAAATTTTGAAATTGTTCATTCTTATCACAAATACATTTACTGATACAAAAATCACATCCAGTGATTTTAAAGAAAATATAGTGTATCCTTAAGTTTTTTTGTATTGTATAAAACTCCATGTGGTTAAGAAAGTATTTTAATACAATTACATTTGTACACATTATTGAAATTATTTTTTAATATCAAAGCTAGAAAATCACTATAAAAGTAAAACTTTTTCTTATTATTCCAACATTTTTTTCCAGTTTTTAATTCTTCAGAGTCAATTTTAGATATCTAAATATAACTTTAACTTTTAAGAAAACTCGACAGCAAAGTATATACATGCTTACTCTTAACTTTATAGTCACTTACCAATACCCATCCCCTACTCTGCTGTCTCTTTCAAACCTGCAAAGTATTTATTTACCTCAGGTTTGCTAAAATCCGCAATAAGGCACTTTGGATGTTTTATCTGCCTCTCCAATGGCTCCTAATAGAAAAAAACATATAAAACAACCACTGCACATACTAAACTCAAGAATTTATACAAACATATGTGTACTCCAAAAACTGTTTTAATCTAACCACAATGTATTTTTTCTGATATTAAGTTATCACAACTTATTATGCCTGACTTGAATATTTGAAGTTAAAATCTATGTGGAGTGAAAAACAAAAGGCAAACACAAACTTAAAAAGCAACTTTAAAACACAAGCTAAATGTGAAATTACTTGAGACATAAATTATCCAATTAAAAATTGGAGCCAACTTGCTGGAGGATCACTGAGTTCACAGTAAGTTCAAGGCACACCTGAACTCCACAGTGAGACTCAAACCACCCCTCTCACCAAAATAAAGGTATGAAGGGCACATCACACTAAATGGACTAACATTTCATTGCTGTAACTTGAGGCAAGTGTGAAGAGGACTGCTGCTAACAGAATGGGGCAGAGATGATGTCAAAACCTTGATAAGGTGATGTTAAAACCTTAAACTTGATTAGTCTCTCCAGCTCCCAAACAACAGGGAAAAAACTAGAAATGTATTCCATTACACTGGGGAATGGCCTGTGGATTTAAACAGCGGGAGACCTCTTAGTTTCAAGACACAACACAGAGTCTACATTCTCCCTACTCAGCAATTTACATTTTCCTTTAACTGCCAGGAGCTTATGGGAATTATTTTACATTTCTAACATAAATAATGTTTTTTTAAATTTTAAAAGTTAAATGAAAATTTAAAATCAAGATCAATTATAAAGAAAATATTTAACTAAAAAATTGAATAATAAACAAAAGAACTCTTCGTAAATCTTTTGAAAATATGTTTGCTTTTCTTGTCTTAGTAAGTAATAGTATGATCAACTCTTGGATTGGTCTAGACAGTAAAAATCCTTTGAAAAATACACAGCTCAACTCATTCATCTATACATATGCAATATTCTAGTTGTACAAAATGTGTACTTTTATTTATTTATTTATTTTTTGGGTATTTTTGAGACAGGGTTTCACTGTGCAGTTCAGGCTGGCATTGAACTCACAGGATCTTCCTGCCTCAGCCTCTCAAGTGGTGGGACTACAGGCATGTGCAACCATGCCCAGTCCATAATTTTAAAAATACTAGTTTATTTCTTAGATTAATTCCATTTTTCTAAAAGTAGATACTAGAAAAAAAAATCTGTTTAGCCTGAACTGTTTGGCTGACTGAACACTTTTATTACTTTTTTCCCTTGGGTTCATTTTCTGTAAAATAAAAAAATATTTTATTTTAAAATAAAGAAGTATTTTTAGGCAGGAAAAAAAATACTTACAAAGCAAAATGTTTTAGGAGTCTTAACCTCTACAGCTATTCCTCCATGTAAATATGATGGCAGCCCTGTAGTATCACCAATGCTAAAAGAAAATGGTGATTCCACTAGAAGAAAAGAAAGAAAAAAACTATTACAAAGGGACACAAATACTTAAATTTGAAGACTTAACATAAAGATGTTAATTTTCTCTAAGTTATAAAGGTTATAGCATAGGTTTTTTAAATGTGGGAGTAGTGTGGGGAGCTATCCAAAGTATTTTTTCCAGTGTGAAGTTGAGGACATAAAACAGTCAAGAAAAAGAGAAATATAAATTATTAATTATTAGTCATAATATAATATTAATAATTATACTGTTTGGAGCAAAAGCTACCTGGGAACTTAAGCAGATGAGTTTTAAATGTCAAAAATAATGCAAAAAATATTTTAGGATAAAGGCATGGGGGAAGAATTTCTTTAAAACCTACAGTAAGGGGGCTGGGGATTTAGCTCAGTGGCATAGTAGCACCTGCCTGGCAAGCGCAAGGTCGTGAGTTTGATTTCCGGTACCGGAAAACAACAACAACAACAAAACCCAAAACCCAAAAACCAAAAACCTGCAGTAAGAAAGGCTCTTCCAGGAATACTCAAAAGTCACTAATAATTAAAAAGTTATGGTTATGCAATAACAACACAATCGAATGACAATAAACTATCACAAGCAGGTCAAGAGAATGCCAAAACAGGAAAAATATTTGCAACTCAAGAACAAAACAGAACAAAATAAAACAGCCACAAAAAAAAAATGGGACAAGAAATGCTCTACTGAGATCCTGCAAGTGGTTAAGAAAGCAGTCATGGAAAATGCCGAAGGACAGACAGTTCACATTAAAGGGAAAAACATGCCTCTAAAACTTAAGGTACTCAGTATCAGTCACAATACAAAAACTGCAAACTAAAATTTTGCTTTGTTAACAGTCTCATCCATGAATTATAAGCCACAAAAGAAAAAGGAACAAAAAAAATAATGCTCTGCAATTAATGATGTGAAAGTATCACCAAGCCACTTTATGTTTAATAAAAAGCCAAAGGGCTGCTACGTATAATCGACCGTTACTTTTGTGTGAAAGCTTACGGAGCCCTGAAAGGAGACACAATAAACTAAAAACAGCAGTTATGTGTGGTCAGTAAGGGAGAAGGTAGAAGATGGAGCCCAGGATGAGCAAAAACTGTTTCCTGTTTAGAACTATTTATTCAAAAAGTTAATTTAAAAAATCCAGTAAGCCCCCCATCCCCACTTAAAACATATGAAACTTACTGTTCCTCTGGAGAGGGTAGGATGTCTGAAGTAGGGCTCATTTTAAACTATTTACATATATATTTAAATATTTTAATACATTTATACACATATATAGTATAAAATGTGTATGTAAATGTATTTTTAAAAATGTTTTTCACAGCAGAAATTTTCTAAGAGCTAAGTATCGCACCAACTAAAAATTGTTAAGGAAAAAAACTTTAAAAGCAGGTCTGTTTAAACATTCTTCACCCCAAAATAATTTTTTGGGTACAAAACGTAGATTTTATGGTCAATTCTTTGATAGTTAATGGCTCCTTCTTACAGAGGCTGTCACAGGAATCGGAACTGCCATCAGAATCCATCATTGTATGGTCCCGAAGTGACAAATGATAATCCCAAATGATTAGTTTAGTCAATTTTCACAAAAACAGATCCTTCAATCTAAATTTGTATTTAACACATTTAGATGTAATCAAGAAAAAAAATCAGTTTCATTACCAAAGATGCTTAAATATGGATCTAAAGTTGTTTACATAGTTTAAAACAAAAACTTGTTTTTATGTCTCTTAAGGACATATTTTGCAGTCATTAAAAAAAAGAAAAAGTAATTTTACTAGTCTACCTACCAATTCTCTAAGAACAGTTTTCAAATGCCCTAGAGACAAAACTGAATCACTCTTCCAAAAACAGGTATATATGTGGTTTACAATCAGGTTACAGGTTCTTGAGCACTGTCAACTCTTTCAAACATGGTTGAAGGGGAAACACAAATTTATGTCAGTATACATTCATTATCCCCAACTTCAAATGGGCCCTAGCTGATACTGATTTTTACATGCTTTTTCTCCTAAAACTTCCTTGGTAGGTTCCCTTTCCTTTAGGTAATAATCTCACATCAGTTCCCTGGAAAAAAAAATGACTGCTTCAACTTATTGCCAATAAACTTACCAACTTGTCTACTGTCATAACCATTCATACCTTTGATGAAAGCCACTGAACAAGAGCACATATGCCAGCAACATCTTTACTTCCATTTGAATATTCCATTGACACTTCATTCCACAAACATAAACTATATCATCTTCTCTCCAAAACCCGCTCCCTTTTTGTACTCCTGAAGTAAATGAGTTATCCAAGTAGGAATCTTTGCTCATCTACCAATGTAACAAAGTTTCCCCCAAATGCCTTACAGACTCCTGGAACTCGAATTCTCACTATCGGCCCTCTTACAGTACGCTTCTTTAACTCCTGAGTCCTGTACTAGGTCTGAGTCTTTTCCTTTTTTATAGAACACTCTTCTTTATACCTTGTAAGCCAAGGTAACCATCAGATTTTAGTCAAGACACCCACCCCGTCCTCACTGTTCCAAGCAGGGCAGGCGTCTGTGCTAAGTCTGGAGTGCTAAGAATGCCTATCCTCTATTCAGATCACCACTGCTAAACATGGTTTTACAATGCTTTCAGGCCAGAGTTATGGATCGGATCTGAGCTGACGCTGTGTTCCCACCAATTCTCAGCACTGAACACAGGATCTGAATTATAAATACGCGGTGATCAGTATAAATCAATTCAGAAAACATGTCAGCTTACCAGTTATTTGTTGTACAGATCCATTTAGACCTGTCATTCCATTAATTTCTCGAAATCTAAGGAACTGTCCTGTCTCAAGTTTGTGAGGATGATTTTCTAGGCAAGTTACAATGCCAGGATTAGCCTAAGAGTAAAAGTAATCTATTAAAAAACAAGTACATGTATACTTTGAGTACAAATTCCAAATCTCAAACAAAAATGACAACATTATCATAAAAATCATAACCTCAAATTTCAAGCCATTATTCTCTCTCCTTGGTGAAAACAACTCTCTAAAGAAATGACAGAAAGTAATGATCAACTTGTTACTACTTTTTAAAGTGAATTTTGAAATATAGTTTCATGTTTTTGGGGAGATGTTCAGAAGTTTCACAGAGCAATTTGAGTATTTCAGAGATTAAAGGATTCTTGTGACTTATTAAAACAAAGTTACAGAGTACATTTTAAAGTGGTGTTAAGAGTAAAACTGGTTACTAAAAGATAAAGAGCCTATTTCTGAATATTGAACAAATGTACAGGAGGATGGAGATTTTAAAGATAGGCATCTGGCAGTGTACAGCTTCTCCAATATTTTCAAGTAAGAAACACTGTGTAGCTTATCATTTTATTTTTTTCTGTACTATTCTATATAAGAAAATACTAATGCAATGAGGAATACACACTGTCTTTTAGAATTTATTCTAACACTGTTATTCTGAGGGCAAAAAGCAACCAACTACAGAAAATAAAAGGTTTAGTATGCACTAATAAACCTGAAAGAAGAACTCAGGTAGAATAATAAATCACTCTGTAAATGGATATATAAAATAATTTTTTAATGAAGTTTTCTTAAAAAGTGCAACAACAGAAACATCAGACTGAGCTTAGAAATCAAGCATAAAGTCAGAAGCACATATAATATTTTGTCATTGTATATTGCCTTTCTCTTATATTTGGCTTCTTTTGGGCTTCAATATATGCTAACTAACTACAGTTAGTATCTGTGGTTAGTTCCTTCTTTGTAAGGAACACAAATAAGGTAAAATACTTAGGATAAAACAAAAAAGTATTGAAAGGGGATCATAATGATTTTGCCAGTTCAGGGGGAAAAAAAAAAAGAAATCAAGCTTATATGATACCAAGACCATGTGGTAAATTTACTTTTGACTTAAAGGTGAATCAATTCTAAAGCCTTTCCCCTTCTAAATATAGTTTAGAAAAGCTTTTGTCTAAGACGCTTTGTGTCTTTTTCTGTATGCAGTCAGTGTTGGGCCCAGTGATACATACTCAGGACATCCATATTCTGACACACTAAACAATTCAGGAAATGAGTAAGAATTCACGAATGATAGAAACATAACACAATAAAGCTGAACTTAATATTTATGAAAGGAAATGCTGTTCTATCAAGTACTGAAAAACATTAGCGAGTCCAGAACATTTTTAATAATATCCCAATTTCAAGTTAGCTCTAACATAATGCATCAAAAATAGTCCCTCATTATCTTAAAACACTACAGAATTAAAAGTATTAGTAATAAAATATTTTGCTAAAACTATCTTTTATTAACAGCAACTTTAAAATATTTTATTGAAGAAGTTCATTAATAGAGTCATACTTGCGTTATGTTTGAAATGAAAATTTCTTTTGGTTCTTCTCCTGTTGTATCTGAAACTTCAAATTCATCACCAAAATCACAAAATAATCGTGACCAAACTCCATGTACATCTGCGCTGATGAACTGAAATGGCACACATAAATTCATTTATTCATGTGAAAGATAAAAAAACTGGGCAGGGGATATAGCTCAGTGGTGTAAGTGCCTGCCTAGCAAGTACAAGGTCCTGAGTTCGATTCACGGTACTGAAGAAAAAAAAAAAAAACCAAAAAATTATTATCTTTGGTCCTTTAGTGACAACTTCATTTATAATTAAATATAACCTTTATAATATAAGGTAAATTATGAATAGGCTAAATTGTTCTAGTTTACACATCAAGATATTTGGTATTTGGTGAAAGAATACTAGATGTTACAAAGTGACAAATACTGTCAGTTTATTATCATTACATGTTCTATGATTATTAAATTACAAAAATTTTGGTCTTGTCATAAAATTCAAGCACAATATATAAGAAACAGATATTGTGGTTTAATGGTCTAGGAGTGAATCCTTATTATTCTGGAAAAAAAGAAAGGAGTGTCCATTCTTTTTTTTTCTTCTGGTACCGGGAACTGAACTCACGACCTTGTGCTTGCCAGGTAGGCGCTGTGCCACTGAGCTAAATCCCCAGCCCCAGGAATGTCCATTCTTCAAAAGTGATAGAACTAATAAAAAACAGACCACCACTAAAAGCTCAGGGCACTCTATAGAAAAAAAGGCTGAGGAACTGCAAATGTAAATCAAATCCACATAAAAATTAGATTCTTGAACACAATCAGAAATGGTTTATCAAAAGGAACTTTCGGGCTGGGGATGTGGCTCAGTGGTAGAGGTCTTGTCTTGCATGCACAAGGCCCTGAGTTCGACACCGAGCACCACATACATTAAAAAAAAAAAAAAAAGTTTAAAAAAAAAAAAAAAAAAAGAATAAAAGGAACTTTCATGCATGCCTGTAATCCCAGCTCTAGGGAGGCTGAGGCGGGAGGATTGTTGCAAATTTGAGACCACCATAGGCTACAAAGTGGGCTCAAGGCCAACCTGAACTGCACAGAGAGACCCTGACTCAAAAATAAAAAAATAAAAAAGGAACTTTCGTAACAAATAAAATGTCTCCATTCTAAGAATCCGTGAAGAAATTAATATTATACTTAAAACCATTTTTGAGCTATTTGTAATAAAAGAAAAAGGCATATTCTACAGCATATATAATCCAGCATAAAGCTGCATTTTTCTAATAAAACTGTATTTGGGCACTTATCAAAATAATGCATACCTGCTATTATACAAAGTATGAGATGGCTATTGGAATGCTACCTCCCATTCAGTCATGTACTGAATTTATTGATCACTGTGGGTTATTATGCTTTTAATGAGACATAAAACTTAGCAGAAATTTTGATACTTCCTCCTCTTCCTGCTCATTTTAAAATTTTAGAAGCTGCACACTCTGGAACAATTTACATTTTTCTTTCTTTTTAATCTTAAAAATTAAAAAAAACTAACAACAATGAAGACAGAATCAGAACACAAAAACCAAGAAAATGATACATGATCTCAAAACAAAATGATAGGAATTTACAATGGTTGCTACATTGCATATTGTTATCTTCAACAAGGTCACTCAGTCCACCAGCCATAAGAACGTAAGATTGATCAAACAATCAAAGAGAGTAACAAGGAATAAAAATAATAATGATAATAAAAAAACACTGGAAACGATGCAGAGCTTCACCACACAAGATGGCAGGAATTCAACAATGGTTCTTATACTGCACATTGTTGTTTTCAGATCAGTCATTCTAATTACCAGATTTAAGCATGCAAAATTGGTCAAGAAAAAAGAAAATTTTAAGCATGGACTGTTCCTTTCAATAAACCACAGACATCAGCAATTCACCTATTCCAGTTATCCTTATATGTACATGTAAATTTTGTTTTTCCTTTTAAAAAAACCCAAAATGAAAAAAAATATATGAACAAAACAGCATACAGAACAACAAAAATGATACAGAATTTCAACACATGGTGATAGGATATTAACAATGGTTGTTATATTACCTAATGTCATCTTCAAAATGTTTGCACATATAACCAGATATAGGCATGCAAGATTGATCAAACAATTACACACTAACAGTTCCTTTCAATAAACCAACAGATATTAGTAGTACAATTATCCTAGCTATCCTGTGTATATATAAACATATTTTTCACTTTTCCTTCTTTTCCCTCTCCCCTCTTTCATCCCAGTTGCTCTTCCTATTTGAGCAGTTTTTTTTCGCTTTCACAATATCTATTGTACCTTTCAGATTTTATTTACTATTTCAGGTTCTTACAGTAGGAAGGAAATGATGTTTACACATGTGAATCTAATTTATTTCACTTGTGAGTATGGTCTCTAGTTGCATCCATTTACCTATAAAAGCCTCTACTTTATCTTGCTTTATAGCTGAGTAATACTCCATTGTATAAAAATACCATGTTTTTTATGCATTCCTCAGTGGATGGGCATGTGGGGTGTGTCCAAGATTTAGCGATGACAAATTGTGCTGCTATAAACATGGGTGCACATATATAGCGGTGGTATGATATCTTCTGTTCTTCTGGAAAAATACACAGGAGGGGAATAGCTGGGTTGAATGGGACCTCTAATCCTAGTTTACTGAGGAATCTCCAGACTAATTTCCACAGTGGTTGCACCAGTCTACACTCCCACCAACAGTAGAGGTGAGTTCCTTTTTCCCCATAGGCCCGCCAGCATTTGTTATGGATTGATTTCTTGATGATAGCCATTCTTTGTGGGGTGAGATGGAATCTCAGTGCTGTTTTAATTTGCATTTTTCAAATGACTAATGACATTGAACATTTTTTCATGTGTTTATTTGCCATTTGCAATTTATATTTTTCTAAAACAACTTTCAGGTATAGAAACATCAATTACATAAACAGAGACTTTACAGTGCAATATAATTATTTTGTAAAACATCTGTGCCCTGTTTTAAGTTTACCATTCAGTCTTATTTACCGTGAACTGTGAACTACATAACAAATGTTACAGAGTATAAATATGCTACATAAATACCACAAACCCAGAATTTTCAGCACATGTATACCATGTAAAATGATTTTGGTTTAGTGCCTATCTCAAAGGTACTTTTTCCATCTTCCAAAGAAACAAAAGACCCCAGAAAGGATGAGGTAAGAACATGCATTTACTTACAGGGGAAGAATTATGATTTTTCTCATCTAAATTTCTTTCCAGTGTCACCACTTAGCAGCTAATTATGCTAGATAAAACTTTAAGGATTATTCCTGGTCTATCAGTTTCAAAGCTTATGTTCATCTACCCACAAACTCTATCAACCTTTTTTCTTTGGTTTTTCCGAGACAGGGTCTTGATGTGCATAGCGAACCTTGTTGGTCTCTCGTTGTACCCCCGAGAGAAATGGCGGTGGATATGAGAAAAATAAACGCAAGAGACAAGAGCTGGGGTCAGATGGCGTTACCTCTTGCCTGATGAGCAAGACTGCCCCAAAACAACAGAGCGCTTATTTATACTCTGGAGAGGTTGGTTAATTTTTTCTCTTGCTGCCCAGCAACCAGTTAACAAGTTATAAAGGCTTGTTTACTCTGAGGGGCTTGTTTACTCTGAGGACCTCCCCTGTTCTCAGGCTGGCTTCATCCTGCACGTGATTATTTTCCAGCTTCAGCGGCTCCCAACAGATGTGTAGTGTAGGCTGGCCTTGAATCCTTAGCGATCCTCCTGCTACAGGCTCCCACGTGCTAGGATTACAGGTGTGCGCCATCCCACGCAGCTGTAACAACTCCTCTTTATGTCTATTCTCACATTTTTTTATGCAGGACTTCAGCATCTTAGGGGAGACTACAGCAGTAATTCTGAACTGGCCTAGCTGTGCCTATGCTGTACTTACAATATCACAGTTCTCCTTTGGGGGGAGTCTCTTTTTTGCTGCTGTTTTGAGACAGTGCCGCCTTGCATAGTCCAGGCTGGCCATGAACTCACTGTGCCCTTGGCAATCCTCTTTCCTGATCAGCCTGGGGGACAGGCATGCACCACCATCCCCAGGTTTTTCTGATCTTTTCATGACCATTTCACATTCTTAAAAATTACTGAGAATTTAAAGGGCTTTTGTCTGCATGAGATATATCTATTGGCATTCAATGAGTTAGGAATTAAAATAAAAATCTAACCACTTACTAGTCCTATTATTTAAATACAGGATGACCAAAAATTGCATATGTTGTTAATTTTTGTAAGACAATATTTATCAAATTTATTCAATACAAGAATCGACTGAAATGAGAGCAGCCTGAGTGAGGCTCGCAACAGTCAGTGCGTAAACAAACGCGCCGCCTGAGTGATGCTTGGGGTAAACTGTTGTGGTTCAAAGAATACACAAATATATTGTAGCTGTCAGAGGAACAACAGTAACACTCAGATAGAATCGGAAAAATCCAGTGCATTTCACCAGAAAATAAGAATGAAAAGGGCAGTACCACCTTAGTAGTATCATGGAAATAGTCTGACTATGCAGGTGCCTCAAAGGGCTTCAGGCACTCTCAGCGTATTCAGACCACATTCTACAAACTCCTAATATAGTTTACTCTCCATATAGCAAGCCAAAGTGATTCTTTAGAATATATATCAAATCAAAACTGAGAGGATTAAAATTGAAACATCCTCAAAGACCCTTTAGATGTGGCCCTTTACTTCTCTAAACTGAATCCTCCAGAATTCCTTCCCTTCTTTACTTAAGTCCATTTTGGTCCGGGCTTGCCTCCTGATATGACTCAAACTCGCAAATCTAAATGTCACACTTGTGATCCCATGCTGATCCCTCTGCTTTGAATGCTCTTCCCTAGAATCTTACATAGCTGGTCTCTTCACTTTAGTCAGTGTCACCTTCTTGGCGAGGACATCCCAGATTTTCTAATGTAGTAGGAATGGCATGGACCTCTCCCAACCTCATGCAGATACACTATTATCTTTATTCTTGGCTCAGACTGTTTTTCTTCACAGGACTTAGAACTAGTTAAAAACACACCACACATTTCATTTGCTGGTTTACCAGATAGTAATTTTCACGAGTAGAAAAATCTGTCCTATTCAGTAAAGTGTTCACAGAACTTAGAACTATATCTAGCATGTAAATAGTCAAGAAATATTCACTAAATGAAATAAGAAATCTCTTGAAATCCAGCATCACACCACGTTTAAAGTTAGACGACGCAGCCAGACTGATAGGGCAAATCTGTAATCCCAGCACTCCAGAGGGCGAGACAGTGTTACAAATTTGAGCCTTGGGCAACTTAAAGAGACCTTGTCTTGAAAAATAAGCTGAAGATGTAGCTCAGTGCAAAGACCCACAAAACAAAGAAACAAATGTATGCACTCAATGTTTATCATCCATTCCTAATCTTAACTCTTTCCTAATGTTGGTAATTTACCCGTAATCCAAATTTACATCCTAGTTTTAAAAACAGGAAATCAGCATGATACCAAAATTAAAGGGCATAAATTTCATTGTGATTGTTTTCTTATAAAAAGAACTTTTTACACAATTCAATAAATCCTCAAATTGTAATAGTAAGTATTCCTCCTTTGATTAACTGCATGTTACTGAATGAGTATAATTACCTTAATTGGAGGGCAATGAGAACGGCAAAAGTTGTTGATCTTCTTTTGCAATGGAAGTTTCATCTCAGTCAAAACCACACACTGTTGACAATAAAGAAATTAAACATCACAAAACATAAAATTATTCTGGAAAACAACTTCAAAGCCAGAAGCACTTCAGTTCTAATTGTGCTAAAAATACAGTTATCCTCATAAAAAAGTTACTACTCCCCCCTCAAAAAAGTTACTACCCTACTGCATTCTGCTCTAAGGTTAACATCTTTAGAAGTGTAACAGCAAAACTAAAAGTAACATACATAGGAAAATACCTGTTCATGTTAAATGTGATGTTTATTTACTCTCCAGACCGTTGGAGATTTATCTGCTACTGCTATGGAAACTCTTACCTGGCCACCACAGTACAGTACTATTTTTAAGTTAGCTTAAAAGCGTGACAATATTAAGAGATAAATTAATTGGTAGTTTTTTTTTTTTAGTTCTGATTCAACAGGTTCACAAAATTAAGTTTGGTTTTACAATATTATTAATGGAGTTTTTATTTTTTAATGCTTAATTTTTTCAGATCACTTGATAGAAGTAGAAGTATTAAAATCAGAATTTGATTCTAACAACCTTAGACTCATAAAATTCAAATATATTCTTAGGGTCAACCATCTACCAAGCAGTAGAGCTAGGCCCTCAGTCCTGTGCTTCCTCACCATAGGCCTGCATGGATTGGACAACTTAGTTTTACCAGAGTATGCTCAAGTGTGAATTTAGTTTATCTGTATCAACATTCCTCCACGCTTTGCACACAGCTCACTGGGTATGGCATGAATGTAAGTAAGGCTCTGACCACTCCTGTGGCTATAGTTTTACTTTCTCCCTTCTTAGTTGCAGGTCTTCTTTTTCTTTCTCTTGCCTAAATGCTGTGGCTAAAACTTTGGGTACTACACTGAAAAACAGGCCAAAGTGGACACCCTCATCTCATTCCATATGTTAGAGGAAAACTTTCAGCTTTTCTTTGTTCAGCCATTATGTGGAGGTATGAGCCTTCTATGCCTACTTTTAAGGAATTTTATCATGAAAGCAGACTGAAATTTATCAAATGCTTTTTCTATAACTATTTAGATAATCATATGACTTTTATCCTTCATTCCATTGACGCATTACTTTCATTGATTTGTGTGTGTTGAAACATCCTTATATCCCTCCATGAAATAAATCCAATTTACTGATTGGGGGAATGATCTTTTAGCTGTGCTATGGAATCTGACTTGCTAGTTTTTCGTTACACAGTTTTGCATCTGTTTTCACTGGGGATCTTGGTCTAGTTTTTATTTTTTTGTTGTGCCCTTATCTGGTTTTGGTATGGAGATAATGCTGTTAGAATGAGTTTGAAAGAGTTCTTCTCTCTCAATTATTCAGAGTAGGGGCTCAGTTATTCAAAGTAGTAGCTCAGTGGCACAGCGCCTGCCTGGCAAGTGCAAGGTCATGAGTTCGATTCCTGGCACCATAAGAAAAACAAACAAACAAAAAATCAATTATTCAGAGTAGTTTAGAAGAATTGGCATTAGTCCTTTGAAAGTCTAACAAAACACAGCAGTGATACCACCTGCTCCTAGTATATTCTCCTTTGGGAGACTTAATAACTGACTCAGTCTTTGTCTGTTAAGGTTTTCTACGTTTTCATACTTCAGTTTCAGTAGGTAGTGTACGTCCAGAAAAGGGTTCATCTAGGTTTTCCAATTGGTTAGTATATGGTCTTTTGTAATGGTATATGTTAATTTTGTGCTGTCAGCTGTAACTTCTCCTTTTCATCTGTAATGTTTTCTTTGTTTCAAAGTTTATTGATTTTTATTTTTTTAAAAAGCCAATTCTGTTTCATTAATCTTTTGTACTGCTTCTAACTTCTGTTTTACTCATGTCTGTGACAACCTTATTATTCTTTTCATTCTACTAATTTTGAGTCCGGTTTGTTTGATTTTCTTGATCTTTGGGATTCATCACTAGGCTATTTACTTGATTTGTCTTTTTGAGACAGGGTCTCGTTATGCAGTTCAGGCTGGCCTTGAGCTCACTTTGTAGCCCAGGCTGGTCTTGAACTCACAACGATCCTCCTGCCTCAGCCTCCCAAGTGCTGGGATTATAGTCACACGTCACCACAATTGGCAAGACCATTTACTGGAAATCTATTCTTTTGATGTAGGCATTCATTTCTGTTAAATTTCCTCATTTCTCCTTTTGTTGTACCTTGGAAGTTTTGGTATGTTGTGTGTCCATTTTTATTTGCTTTTAGAAACTTTTGAATGTTCTTTCTGATTTCTTCAAGAACTCACTGTTCACTCAGTAGTACGTGGCTAAGTCTCCATTTATAGTTTCTGAAGTTTCTTTTGTTTTTAATTTCTAATTATACTCTGTTGTGGTAAGGAAATACATGATATGACTTTAATTTTTTTAAGCCTCTTGAGACTTGTTTTATGGCTTAAGGACAACCTAGTTACACTAGAATATCCAGGATGCTAGCAAGTTTTATTCCTGTTATTTACAGAACTGGTAACTATGGTAGGCTGAATTACTGATTCATTTATTTCACTGCTCTGCAACTATACTGCTCACTTATGGCTTCTTAGGAAGAGAAGAAAGAACTTTTGTGACTCTTGAGTTTGTATTTGACAATGTGACTTGCTTTGGCCAGTGGATGGCTAAAGTAAGTAATGTGGACAGGAGTTCAAAATAAGCCTGAGTGGTACCATTTGCGTTTTAGCTACTGCTATTAGAACATTACCTTGGTAGTGTACCGGTCCTAGAAGGGACACATGAAGCAGAACCCAGACTCTCAAGTTCAGTCTGAGCTAAGTGTAGCACAGAACAGATGAACCCCTCAACTGACATGCAGAAGCATGAGGGAAAAATGAATACATGTACCTAAAACCTGAGTTCTAGACAGTTTTTAAATGCATATTGCTGTGAAAATAAAGCCAACTAACTGCTTTCTCAGCAGTTCTTAGGCGCTTTCCCTAAAATGGAGCGTTTAATACATATTTAAACAGCAGCCTTCTAACTTGAAATGTTTTGTTTTGTTCCTCAACACAACAGATTAAACTAGTTATACCATGTATCAGTGGTGGTGAATCTGTGGCATGTGTGCTGCAGCAGGCTGTTTGTTGTCATTAAAAGCTCTACAAGGTTTGCCATCACTGCCGTATACATACTTAACAATTTGTGTTGGAATCTGTAACATTTAACACAGAATAGTATACTAACCTGGTATTCACTTAAGAAGGAGAGATCTGTAGTTTCATTGAAAGGAACTGAAGATGATGTGACATGAACATATGGATTTAGCTCTGCAATATGGTGAAGTACAGCTTCAGCCCTAAAAAAAATTTTACTATTTTTTCTTTCAGTATACACAATCTCTTGAAGTTGGACACTTTAATGACATAGCTTGTTATGAAATTCCAATGAAATAATAAACTGTAGAAGAAAACAAGACTTATTTATCTGTCATATAACTACATAATTGTAAAATGTACAGTACTGGCATATTCCACAGTAAGCCAATCTCAAAGTGTACCGACAGTTCCAGGCTTTCTCTTAATGATTAAATAATACTAAAGACCTCCTTTAATAATCTCAAAAAATTCACTTCTAGACAGCAATATGAACATACCAAAGACCTGACAAATACAATTACTTTAGTCTATACTCACGCTTACATATCTATGCTAGTGTGAAGTTATCTCGATGACTTACAACAATTACAACTGAAGCAGTGTTCTACACATAAAATATTCTACACAATTGAGTTTTAAAAAAGTCTCATGACAATACATTAAAATATCTTCACCTGTTTCTCACATTAACAACATCATTTTCACAGAGGAAGAAGTTGGTCCCTAGATCCCATGTGTGGCATTTTTCTGTATCATGGATTGTAAGTGCCTTCAAAAAAGAGGAAAATATCTGTTGAAGTCCAGAACAGGACAAGGGTGACCACTTATTCTGTTATTATTATGTGTAAGCAGACAACAAAAATTGTTAGAGACATAAAAATTGGAAAGATATAAAAATAGATCTATAGGAAAATGATAACTATATATATCTAGAAAACCCCAATAGGCTGATGAAAAACTTTTAGATAGTAAGATTATCTATGTTTATAAAAGAAGCATGTTAAAATATTAACACATAAATATGCAGAAAATTTATATAAGCATTTAAAAATACTCCATATAATAAAGACAATTAACAAAGTAGAAAAAAATATTTATAGCTTATACCAGGCCATTTGAAATCTTTATTTTTTTGAGACAGGGTTTTGATATGTAGCTCAGGCTGCCTTGAACTCACTATATAGCCCAGGCTGGCCTTGAACTTGCAGCAATCCTCCTGCCTTAGCATCCTTCCTGAGTGCTGGGATAACAGGCCATGCTCAGCTTCAGGTCATTTCAAATTTCACTGAAAAAGGGGCAATTAATTTACAAGAAATATATTGAAAAAGAAAGCCTGGCATGGTGGTGCATGCTTGCAATGTCAGCACTCAGGGGGCGGGGGTAGGAGAATTACTGTGAGATTGAGACCAGCCTAGACTACATAGTGAGTTCAAGGCCAGCCTAAAATTGAGACCCTGTCTCAAAAAATCAAAGATAAAAAACCAGATATGCTGGTGCATGCCTGTAATCCAGCACTCAGGAGGCTGAGACAGGAGGATTGCAGTGAGTTTGAGCCTCAGCCTGGGTTACACAGTGAGTTCAAGGCCTGTCTGAACTACAGAGTGAGACCTTGTCTCAAAAGAAGAAAGAAATGTATATGGCACTTGAAAATATGTAAATAATTCCTACACTGCTCAGAAATAAAGTACCTTTCCTTACATATTAGACTGGCATAAGTCCAAAAGTTTAAAAACATGCTCCACTGCAGAGGAAGAGAGGAATAAGCCAATCTCATACAATACTAATGGGGCACATACAGGGTCTCAACCACCATACAAAGAAATTTAGCAATCTCTACCAATGAGACAGATGCACTTGTCCTCTGACACAGAAATTCCACTTGAAGGCATCTATACCAAAGACTTGCTGGGAAAGATGTATGTACAAGGATATTAAATGTACTCCCATTAAAAAACTAAAAGCAATAAAAATGTCCACCAAGAGGGAAAATTTTATATGTGATACATCCATACAATGAATATCCACGTAATTAAAAAAACAACGCAATATACATTTACCACCCTGTAGTAATCTTTAGGACATGCCGTTAACTGAAAAAGGTGGAGAAAAGTGTAGTAGGAAAGGCAGGAAGAAATAAAAATATGCACGCATACACAAATACGCATGTATATATGCATGCATTTGCTTGTATTTAAAAACAAATGAGTAAGTCACTGAAAGGCAGTGACACAGTGAAGGTAGGAACTGGGTAGAAAGAAGCAAAAATACCTTGTTTATATAAATATGACAGGACAAAATCAATCTCACCTAAGAGTAAAACTGAATGAAATTTTTAAAAAGCAACTCTGAAATAGTCAAAGCAAAATGAAATGAACTAAACTGTTTATTGAGTTGTTTACCTAACTACTCAAAGGAATTATTTATAGTGATTTTAAAAAGCTGTTAATTTGTCTATCTGATCAAAGTGGGATTTGAAAAAAAGGCAAAACATACTTTGTGTTTTCAATAAAATATTTTTAATAATATTGAAAATGGTATTCTGAAACTGTGTGATAGAGATTAACTCTAAAAAAGGACAGAGAAATAATTGGGTTGGTATCATTAGGAACCAAGACTTACCGCAAGTCAGAAAAAATAAAAAATGTAAGATCAAGAAGTCAAATATTTGATAATCCCAAATGTGAATCACAAGTTTTTAAATATAATCTAACCCAACCTTTAAAATCAGAACCTTCAGTGTTTATTCTGGATCAGTGCCATACTGTGAGCTACACTACAGGAAGGCACTTAGCAAGGAACTGGGAGTAACCTTTGGTCAACATCAAGCAAGGAAGTGAGGTCCTCAGTCCAACAACTCATAAATTCTGATAACAGCCAAGAACAAGCTTTTGCCAAACTACCCTCAAGACCCCTGCAACTCCTACTCAAACCTTGACTGAAGTCTGAGATGCTCTTGCCAAAGAACCAGCTATGACATACTTGAACCCTGATCCATAGCAACGGAGGTAACAACTGCTAGAATTTGAGGTAAATGGTTTACAGCAAAACACAATACAATAATATCAAGGACTTATTATATTTTTAGGTGTGAAAACATTGTTGTGTTTATGTTTATAAAAAGTGTCTTTACTTTTTAAAGAAATATACTAAAATACTTAAGGATGATACCATGTATGAGATTCACATCAAAATGATTTAGTAGCTGCATGAATGGGGAATGAGAAGGAAACGTGAAACAAATGTGTCCTTGAGTTTGTAACTGAAACTGTGTGACAGATATATGGAGTTTTGTTAAACTATTCCATTTTCATCTACTTTTGAAATTTCCATGATAATTCTTTAAAGAAAGAATAGACTAGAACATTTTTTGCTATTAAACAAAAAATAGTAAGCCGAAGTGTAAACCATATTGGCATAACAAATGAGCAAAACAATGACTGAACCATTTTTGTTACTATGCACATGTATTTACTTACCTTAATCCCTGCAAGAACAAGATTCTTTGCTATAAAGGAAACAGAAAGAAATATTAAGAATTCCTATTTATTTCTGACTGGATAACTTTAACTACTCAAGAAATATAAGTTATTTATAAATAAGCTAGAAAATATAGACTACATGAAAGGAATAAAATTTTGTACAATATCTGAGATAACACTCCTGAAATTTTAAGGTATTCTTCCAAACATGTCTTTATGAACATACGTATGTGTGCTACCATGATGAATGACTATACGGAAAATGATCTTAATAGTAATACCATCACAAAAATAGCAATTGTTAGTTCCACGTGGAAGAACATAGTAGTGTCATGAAACAGCCTCACCAAAGGAATCCAAGCTGAATTTGTGTTATCTAATTCCTTAAATTCTTTAAATCATCTTATGTCACTAATGTCATATAAAATTATGAATAAAAATACTGCTTACCAATTTCCACACCAAGACCACCCATACCACTTAAAAAAACATGGGCCTTAGCCATCTTCTGCATTGCTGTGTCTCCAAGGACGTACCTCTGTCGACTACATGTAAAACACAATGAATAACAGAAAGCGTTATTTTATCAAATTATATAACCCTTAAATTTGTTTGCAAACTAACAGCCTAGACAAACATTGGACTGATCTTGCCTAGGCTTGTTTGGGATGATCTGAAGTGTTTAAAACTTTCTAAATACATGACAAATTTTAAAAAATTAGGTAATTTGGCAATAAGATCAACATTTCTTCAAGGCAACAACAAGGACTGGGTGGATGTTTCTCTCCTGGGACAGAGCAGATTTGCATGTGAGGTGGGCAGTTCCATCCTCGCTGCTGCTCAGTCACTGACCCAGTAGCCACTGCAGACATGGGAATCTGTTATCTCCACTTAGAAGGGGAAACTTCATGCTATACTCATCCTTGATGACCACAATGGATTCTTATGAGGCTCACTTGAAAGATTCAGTATACACAGTAATTTCAAAAACCCTTGGGTAATATTTAGTTTTGGAATTAAAACACACATAATGTATGTTTGCTTAAAAAATAAATACTTGTGCCCGGCACTGTGGCACACACCTGTAATCCTAGCACTCAGGAGACTGAGGCAGGAGGATTGTCTTGAGTTTGAGGCAACATAAGTTAGGCTTGCAGATTATGTAAGTTAGTTCAAGGCCAGCCTGTACTACATAGTGAGAGCCTGTCTCAGAAAACAAAACAAAACAAAAAAATTGCACCAAAAAAATTACTTTTATAATTTCTGTATTTCAGATTTTATATTCATATATATATGCCTGAAAGGGGCTTTTCATCTCATCTGACTAAACTCCATAAACACAAGCCATCTTTATTTCTTTCTTCCTTGTTCCCTAGAAAATAGGAAAAAATCCCAACTCTTTTTCAACTAGTATCCAAGATCTTTTTGAACTTAAAGAAAAATATATTAAAAATATATCTTGAATATCTATTACAAAATGTATTAAAGTTTTTTATATAGTCTTATTACCCATACTTGTATATTCCTACATAATATCCTTAAATTTTACCGTTTTTCCAACTTTATATAAATGAGATCATTTTTAATGTCTTCTGAATTTGTGAGATTTACTCATTTTGATGGACACAACTGCTCAGTAATTTTCATTTCTGCTCTAGTCTACCGTACTAAAATATTCAATTGTAATAATATACCATAATTTATCTATTCTAGTTTTGGACAGTTACCAGTAATGGGGACTATATGCACCCTTATAAATGTATCTTAGTGCAAATTTGCAGTTGTTCTGGGATGAAGAAGGGGAGACGAAAAAGAAAGAAGAGGTAAAAATACACATACATATACAGGATAATTGTACTACTACTATCTTTTGGTTTGTTGAAAGGAACTGCTAAAGTGTAATTGACCAATCTTGCATGCCTATATCTGGTTATATGTGCAACCATTGTGAAGATGACATTGTGTAGTATAACAACCATTGTTAATATCCTATAACCATGTTTTGAAATTCGGTATCATTTTTATTGCTCTCTATGCTGTTTTGTTTATGCATTTGCTTTTGTTATGTTGGTTCTTTTTAAATGAAAAACAAAATTTGTATGTATATATAAGGATAGCTGGAATAGGTGTATTGCTAATGTCTGCAGTTTATTGAGAAGAGCAGTCAATGCTTAAAATTTTCTTTTTTCTTGACCAATTTCACATGCTCGAATTTGGTAATTAGAATGACTGATCTGAAAATATGCAGTATTAAGAACCACCGTTGAATTCCTACCATTTGGTATGGTGATGTGTTGCATCATTTCCAATACTTTTTTTTTATTTATTATTTTTTTACTTGTTACTGTCTGATTGATCAATCTTACATTCTTATGTCTAATGGACTGAGTAACTTCGTTGAAGAGAACAGTATGTAATATAGCAACCACTGTAAATTTCTATCATTTTGTCTTGAGATCATGTATCATTTTTGTTGTTTTTGTATTGTTTTGATGTTGTCTTCACTGTTTGTCAGTTTTTTAATTTTTAAAATTAAAAAAATAAAACAAACAAACAAACCCCAAATTTGCAGTTGTTTCACTAGTGTAGGGCAATGTAGGGGAAATGTAGGGCTAAAAAGCACAGACATGTTCAACTATAACATGTCACACTGCTTTCCCAAGCAGTACCAAATTATTCCTCTTTTGGTAACGTGTAAAAGTTCCTGTAGTTCATATCATTGCTGTGTAGCCAAGATCTTTACAAGGGTCTGCATACAGGGCTACTATCCATATGGTATTTATGAATTTGGCTCTTCAAAGGTTTTCTATGCTAGTCAATTATCCTTCTACATTCTTTTGTTCTAGTTACCTGAAATAAAAATTAATTCTCAGATTTTGTAGAATACAAAAAATTTTATGAAGTGCATCCCAAATTTGGTATCAGTACTTTCTTATTTTCAATTTTTTAATCTTTTAATGACTTACATGTTATTTCAAAGTATATTTAAAAAATTCTAACTGAATGAGTAATCTTTTACTTTTTGTGTTCTACCTTAAGTGTACTGTGAAAAGATACACAACCTGTATGATTTCATTTTTTAAAATGTTTAAGCAATTCTTTGGTCAATTTTATAAACTGTATGTATTCCTGAAAAAAATGTGTACTTCACGTTTGTGAGTTAGGTTAATTTAACAAACTGATAAAACCTTCTACACCTGTTATGTTTTCTTTATAGTAGCTTTGTTTTTATTTATCTATTAGTACATGTTTGTGATATACAATGGCTACTTTCACTATGGGTACCTGGTACATGTACATGAATTAATAAACACAGAGGATGAACATTAACAGTACTAACAAATAGAATAAGAGTTATTATTAGTTCCACATGAAGGACACAGTAGTATTCCAGTTCTTTTTTTATGTCACTGTCCTCTTCACCTCTTGGTCCCTTCCCATCTACAGTCAATCTATCTCCCTGTTTCCTTTTATCTATCTTTTAGTTTGCTCTCCATTTATACTTTGGATTTCTCATGAGAGAAACCATACAGTATCTTAGCTTGAGTGCTTCATTTCACTTAAACTTGTTATTTTCAAGGTGCTTCCACTTTCTTACAAACAGTTCACATTTGTCCTTTATAGCACAGTAGTATTACTGTATGTGTATAAATACCACACTTTCTTTATTCATTCCTCTGCTGATGTATTCTCTTGAACAATCAACAAGCAACATTTCAAAAAACTCCCATTCTGTTTGTGAAATCTGTCTGTTCTCCATAGGTCTCAGTATCTAAATAGTGCCTTGCATATTAATACAGTAATAGCTAAATCTTACCTTTTACTGTGCAACTTATTTTCTCTTAAACGCTGTACTTGTATTCACTTATTTAATCCTTGCAAACATTGTGGGAGATAATTTGTATTACCCTTAGTTTTTTTTTTCTGGTACCAAGAATCAAACTTAGGATCTTGTGCTTGCCAGGCAGGCATGGTGCTGCTCAGTTATATCCCTGGCACTATTATTCTTATTTTTACAAACAAGAACCTTAAGCACATAGAAGTAACTTACAAGAAATGGATTTAACAGAGGCAAATCAGGCTTACTGCTGCCAAACTCTTAAGCACTGTGCAGACAGTACAGATAGACTAAGCAAGTCAAATCATTTCACAAGGTTGGGAATGGAAACCTGGTGGTGGACTGACAACTGGTGGTCAACTTGTAATACCCAGCTGAACTGAACCAGTGTGGGGCTGGGTGTGGGAGGCCCACCTGAGGGTTGTTGTTAACAAAATAAAAAGAGCTCGAGAACAAAAGCCATTGGGAACTGTTTGTGTTGTTGAGAGCTGTTGGTTCTCCTGGAGGAGCTTGTCACGCTGGCTTTCCTAATATGAACTTGGCTGTTCTCAACATTGAAGGAGCTTGGAATGGCTACTACTGTCACTGAGAATGGCTACAGTTCACTTTGGGGGAGCTCTGGTCCTCACTTTGAGCACCGCTTCCTGGCTCCAAAAGGGAAGATGGTGCATTGTTCAATGTCCCTGGAGAAGCTTGTCGTGCTGGCTTTTGTGATATAGACTCAGCTGTTATCATCAGAGGAGCTTGGAACCTCACTTGTCACTGAGGATGGCTGTGGTACCTTTTGGGGGAGCTCTGGTTCTTACTGTGAGCATTGCTTCCTGGGTCCAGGGCAGATCCCTCAGCCTGCTGGTACAGATCCTCCATCCCGCTGGCACAGACTTTCTAGCTTTCACCACTGACCTTGGGCCTTCCTAGCGCAGATCCTTGAAAGAGGCCCACATGAGACATTGTCGTGGGCTCTTGGCCTCCAGTTGGACTTGTTGGGGGCATTGTTATGGGCTCTACGTGTTCAGCTGGATTCATGTAGGACACTGCTGTGGGATCCAGGCCCTCAGATGGGTTCTTTAGATCTCTAGCGCACAGATTTCCTGCACTCTCTTTGAATATGACTCTCTCGGTGACTATTATAAAATAATTCTATAAATTATGTGTCCTATATTGTTTCCTCTGCAATCTCTGACTACAACAAACCCCAGAGCCAAGAATAACTCTTCTTTACCCAAAGGACAGCCATTCTCAATTCTTAGTTATGTACATGTTAATACTATTTTATTTTTCCAGTTTTGTTAACTTCCTACTTTAGAAACAGTAAATTATGTTCTGAAGTACAAGTCTGATAAAATCATCCTTTTGCTTTAAAAACTCCTAATACCAGTTATGTTCTCCTTGGCTGCTGGATTTTGTGTGGAGTATTTCTCTCTCCCAATAGTCTATGTCTGAATACTCCTACTTGTCCTTTAGGGCTCAGTTTACACATTTTGCTCCCCTAGGATGTTTCCTTTGATCCCTCTCTCCTTTCTTAAGACAGGATGGACCATCTTTTATGTGCAACTGTTAACACCCTACATTCAATGTATTTTAACAATTTTTTTTTTCTTTTTTGGGCACCAAGTAAGCTTGCCAGGTAAGCACTTATGCCATTAAGCTACATCCCTGGCCCTATTTTAACAATTTTAACTGTACTTCTGTTATTTGTTTCTCTTA